TGTTTTTGATATAGTCAGATTTAAACCTTTACCAACTTATTGCTGTTTCTTTCTATTGGTCTCCTTTGGTCTTTGCTCACCTTCCCTCCTCTTCTGCTTTATTTTGGATCAGTTGAGTCCTTTTTATGATTCTATTCTTTTTTGACTTTGTAACTGTTTAGTGCTTGAATTTCATTTTTTACGCAGTTTTTCTAGAATGTGTCCTTGACTTGTCGTGATCAGTCTGCCTGCACGTGACAGATGGCAGTTCCACTCAGCAGAGTTGAAGGACTGCCCAGCGTTGTACTCTGTTTCTTTCTTCCTGGCATTCCTGCTTTTGTTGTCATGGATTTTTTTCTTCATGTTATAAACCCCGCAGTGTATTATTTTCATCACTAATTTTTAAAGAGATTTAAATAATTGCTTTATATTCACCAAGAGTTGCCATTTTCTTTTTTTTTTTCCTAAAGATTCTATTTATTTATTTGAGAGGTAGACTTACAGACAGAGAGAGAGAGAGACAGAAAGGTCTTTCCTTCCGTTGGTTCACTCCCCAAATGGCCGTAACGGCCAGAGCTATGCCAATCCGAAGCCAGGAGCCAGGAGCCTCTGCCTGGTCTCCCATGTGGGTGCAGGGGCTCAAGGACCTGGACCATCTTCCACTGCTTTCCCAGGCTATAGCAGAGAGCTGGATTGGAAGAGGAGCAGCCGGGACTAGAACCAAAACCGGCGCCCACATGGGATGCAGGTGCCGCAGGTGGAAGATTAATCTACTGCGCCACAGTGCCGGCCCTGAGAGTTGCCATTTTCTTTTTTTTTTTTTACAGGCAGAGTGGACAGTGAGAGAGAGAGACAGAGAGAAAGGTCTTCCTTTTGCCGTTGGTTCACCCTCCAATGGCCACCGTGGCTGGTGCGCTGCGGCTGTCGCACCACGCTGATCCGATGGCAGGAGCCAGGTATTTATCCTGGTCTCCCATGGGGTGCAGGGCCCGAGGACCTGGGCCATCCTCCACTGCCCTCCCGGGTCACAGCAGAGAGCTGGACTGGAAGAGGGGCAACCGGGACAGCATCCGGCACCCCAACCAGGACTAGAACCCGGTGTGCCAGCGCTGCAAGGCAGAGGATTAGCCTATTGAGCCACGGCGCCGGCTAGAGTTGCCATTTTCAATGATCCTCCATCCGCTGGGCAGATCCAGAGGATCCAGTATCCATTTCCTTCGGCTTGAAGGACTTCGTGTGGTGATCCTTCTAGTGTGAAGGTACCAGTGGTGAATTATTTGTGCTTTCAGTATCTAGAAAGGTCTTTTGTCTTCAGTGATGGACATAGAATCCCATGCCAGCAGTTTTATCCTTTAAAAATTATGCTCACCTGGTATCGTGCTTGTAGTGTTTCTGATGAGAAATCTGCCATTCTCACCAATTTTTATAAAGATTTATTTATTTATTTGAGAGGCAGAGCATCAGATGAGAGGGAGAGACAGAGATCTTCCACCTGCTGGTTCACCCTCCCAGATGTCCACAACAGCCAGGGCTGGGCCAGGCCAGGAGCCCGATGCTCTGTCCAGGTCCCCCATGTGGTGCAGGGCCAAGCACTCATCTCCCACTGCTTTCCCAGACACATTAGCAGGGAGTGGATCAGAGGAACAACAACCAGGACTCAGGCCGGAACTCCTGTATAGAATGCCGGCGGCATAAGTGTGTTAACCCGCTGCGCCGTAACGCCAGCCCCTTCTCCACGTGGAATGCTTGAGTATATTGTTTTGCTCTTTTAAGCATTCCTAAACTTTCTCACATTTTACTGCAAAAAATATAAATAAATAAAAATATGCAATTAAGCAAATATGTAAGAATGTTAATGGTAAAGTCTAGTTGATAGTCACCATAAAATTCTTTCAACTTGTTTGCATTGATATTTTTCATAATAAAATTTTCAGAATACATCCTTCAGAATCTATGTAAAACTAATCTTTGGCCCAAAGTAAATAACTTTTTTAAAAAAGGTTTATTCATTTTTTATTTGAAAGGCAGAGCTATATAAAGAGGGAGAGACAGAGAGATTTTCCATCCACTGGTTCACTCCCCAAATGGCCGCAATGACCAGGGCTGTGCCAATCAGAAGCCAGGAGCTAGGAGCTTAGCACTTGGGCCATTTTCCTCTACTTTCCCAGGCCATTAGCAGGGAGCTGGGTCAGAAGTGGAGCAACTGGGAATCGAACCAGTGCCCATATGAGATGCTGGCACTGCAGAGGGTGGCTAACCCGCTACGCCACAGCACCCGGCCCCCCCTTAAATTAAATAACTTAACAGAAGCTTCCAAATCTAATGTTATCTATCGTTTTTTTTTTGTTATTTTTTGTTTTTTGACAGGCAGAGTGGACAGTGAGAGAGAGAGACAGAGAGAAAGGTCTTCCTTTTGCCGTTGGTTCACCCTCCAATGGCCGCCGCTGCAGCCGGCGCACCGCGCTGATCCTGGCAGGAGCCAGGAGCCAGGTGCTTTTCCTGGTCTCCCATGGGGTGCAGGGCCCAAGCACCTGGGCCATCCTCCACTGCACTCCCTGGCCATAGCAGAGAGCTGGCCTGGAAGAGGGGCGACCGGGACAGAATCCGGCGCCCCAACCGGGACTAGAACCCGGTGTGCCGGCGCCGCAAGGTGGAGGATTAGCCTATTGAGCCACGGCGCCGGCCTCTAATGTTATCTTTTTTTAAAAAAAAGATTTATTTATTTGAAAGGCAGAGTTACAGAGAGGCAGAGAGAGAGAGAGGTCTTCCATCCACTGGTTCACTCCCCAGCTGGCCACAACAGCCAGAACTGTGCTGATCCAAAGCCAGGAGCCAGGAGCTTCTTCCGCATCTCCCATATGGTACAGGGGCGCAAGGACTTGGGCCATCTTCTACTGCTTTCCTAGGCCATAGCAGAGAGCTGGATCGGAAGTGGAACAGCCGGGACTCGAACCAGTGCCCGTGTGGGATGCTGGCACTGCAGGTGGTGGCTATATCCCCTATGCCACAGCGCTGGCCCCAATCTGATGTTGTCATTAAAGGACACTAATTGAATTTATAAATACCACAAATTATTGTTATATATACATAAATTTCTATTCTTAAACTGAAAAATATTTTGAAATAAACATATACACATAAGTACTAGTGATTATCATGCTTTCGTGGTTACCTGAAATAAAATGGCATTGTGCATTTAGTTATGAAATAGTCATGAAAATTATTCATTGTTTGAAAAGTTGTGACTATATTTCTTTTATTAAGTATTCTACAAAAATTTTTGTAAGTTCTTATTTCCATATCTTTAACTGTTATGTAAGAACAAAATTGAATAGATTATAAAAAGAGCAAGTTACTTAAATTGAGGATTTTAAATGTAATTCTTACACATCAGATTCTGGTATAAGGGCATTCTTTGGAAGCATTGCTGGCCGTGAGGAAGGATCGTTGTAGGTTCATGAGAAGGAAGGCTCCGCTGTCTCTGTCTCTGCTCACTGGGCACTCTGTCTGCACCAGGCAGGCCTGGGGCGTGAGGCCAGGAGGATACTCAGAGCTCCAGCCATCCAGCTGCATGAGACAAATATTGCAAAGAAGATGTGCAGCATTTACAAGTGAAGAGCCAGTTAGGGCCGCAGGGGCTCTACAGCAAGGGTTTAGCAGGTCAATCAGGCATAACTGAGCTGCAGTTAGTAAGGCGACTGTGTGTACTCTTCTCGGAGAACCCATCACTCGAGGTGCCGTGCCAGGTTCTGTGGGTGCTGGGGGTCAGCAGTGTGCAGTGTGGACTTCATGTTCTCCACGGTGACACCCGAGCTCTGGTGCCATGCAAGCAGATTTGAGCACACTACAGATGAGGAGAGGGACCGTTTTCCTCTTTAAAATTCTTGTGGTGGGGTGGTGGTGAGCGTTGTGGTGTAGTGGCATGGGGGTGAAGCCACCACCTGCAATGCCAGTAGCCAATATGGACACCGGTCCAATTCCTGGCTGCTCCACTTCAGATCCAGCCCCCTGAGAAAGGCCTGGGAAAGCAGCAGAGGATGGCCCAAGTGCTTGGGTCCCTGTACTCATGGGAGATCTGGAAGAAGCTCCTGGCTTTGGCCTGGCCCAGCCCTGGTCATTTGGGGAATAAACCAGCAGATGGAAGATATCCCTCCCCCCTCCCCCTCTCCCTCCCTCCGTCCCTCCCCCCCCATCTATGATGTTCTGTACTCATTGGTGGAGAGGTTGTTGCTGATCATTTATGTTTTTGCTTTTTATTTCTGATGGCCCAGCTGTGACAGTCTTCTATCTCTGGCCTCTGTTTCTAGGCATACAACTTGCAAACAAATGATAGTTTTCTATTTTAAAAAGATATGTGTAGGGGGCTGATGTGGCACAGCAGATTGAACCACCACTTGTGACGCCAGTGCTGGCATCCCATACTGGCATGCCGGTTCAATTCCTGGCTTCTCTGCTCCTGATACTATTCCCTGCTAATGCACCTGGGGAGGCAGCAGAAGTGCTTGGACCCTCGCCACCCACTTGGGAGACCCGAATGGAGTTCCTGGCTCCTGCCTTTGTCCTGCCCAGCCCTGGCCATTGCATCTGTTTAGGAAGTGAACCGGCAGCGCTCGCTCGCTCTCTCTCTCTCTCTCTCTCTCTCCCTCTCCCTCCCTCCCTCCCTCCCTCCCTCCCAGTGCCTGGGTTTGAGTCCTGCTCCACTTCCAGTCCCAGCTTCCAGCTTCCAGCTCCCTGCACCATGGGAGCAGCAGGTGATGGATTAAGTGCCCGAGTCTCTGCCCCCCGCCTGGAAGACTAGACTGAGCTCCAGGTCCCTGGCTTCAGCCTGGCTGAGTACTGGCTGCTGCCGGCATCTGGGGAGTAAATCAGTGGATTAAAGATCTTCCCGTAGCTCTCTGTCGCTCTCCTTTTCAAACAGATAAAAATTCAAAAAATACAAAGAATTACTTAAACCTTTTTAAAAATGCTCTCTGTGAATATGTCTAATGCCTGATTATAATTTTAGATTTTGTGGATTTTAGTTTGCAGTTAACATGTTTCGAACATTGCCACCTTCCTCCAATCCCACGGGAGCAGAGTTTGACCCCGAGGAAGATGAACCAACGTTAGAAGCAGCCTGGCCTCACCTGCAGGTACTGGGCTCGGGTGTGCAGCTGTGCGTGCGCCTGGGGGGCTGCAGAGCAGGTGTGAGGCCGGACTGCACACCAGCCGCCACCAGTGGATCTTTGGTGGGGCAGACCTTGCAAACCTGTGAATACAACAGAAATATTCTAGCGGGACAGGGAACGTTGGGGGAGGGGGCGTGGTGTTCTCACATTTTACATAAATCGCCAAAGTGGGGGCTGTCCGTGTGTTTTCACTTCGAGTGGCCACTTTGATGACAGCCACTGGGTTTGGGCCTAGAGGACTGTGCGGACATTGTGCCCGTTCTCAGTAGGCGGGGAGGGCAGTTGGAAGGTGAGAGGCAGAATGGTCAGGAGGTGCCATGGCCAGTGTTGGCAGAGCACGTGCCAGGCCTGCTGGAGGGAATGGGCTCACTGTGGAGCAGGAAGTCGAGGTGGGAAACACAGGAAGGAACATGACAGCAGCACACGCTGGGAGAGCGGCATCGTGGGAGGGAGCCGGACATTCCCTGCACACGGCCCCTCAGCGATGGGTCGGTGTCTGTGTCTCAGGGCCCTCACGGTGGGTGGGCTACCAACCCCTCCCTGGGGTTGGCCGCTGCACCTGGGTTCACAACAGTATGATTGAAGCATCAGTGACATTGGCCATTTAAGGGTTCAGTCTGTAGTTCTTATAAATAAAATAATTACCATCAATTACAATTACATTAAGCCATGTGGTTTCACATTGAGTCTATAGCTACGTGGCTTTTCTTAGAAAGGCTATGTGCAGGGCCGGCGCCGTGGCTCAATAGGCTAATCCTCCGCCTAGCGGCGCCGGCACACCGGGTTCTAGTCCCGGTCGGGGCGCTGGATTCTGTCCCGGTTGCCCCTCTTCCAGGCCAGCTCTCTGCTATGGCCAGGGAGTGCAGTGGAGGATGGCCCAGGTGCTTGGGCCCTGCACCCCATGGGAGACCAGGAAAAGCACCTGGATCCTGGCTCCTGCCATCGGATCAGCGCGGTGCGCCGGCTGCAGCGGCGGCCATTGGAGGGTGAACCAACGGCAAAGGAAGACCTTTCTCTCTCTGTCTCTCTCTCTCACTGTCCACTCTGCCTATCAAAAATAAATTAAAAAAAAAAAAAAAAGAAAGGCTATGTGCAGGCAAATAAAGCTTCAACTCGGTGCATTTTCATCTCTGGCTAAGAAAACGCTGTGCCGTTTGACGTGCTGTTTTTCTTTTTTTCTCCTAGCTTGTTTATGAATTTTTCTTAAGATTTTTAGAGTCTCCAGATTTCCAACCTAATATAGCGAAGAAGTATATTGATCAGAAGTTTGTGTTGCAGGTAAGGTGCGAATCCACAGAAACCCCAAGATCCCGGCCTGTGGCACCGTCACACCAGGTCCCTAAGTGTCTCTTTCTTTCTGAAGCTTCTAGAGCTCTTTGACAGTGAAGATCCTCGGGAGAGAGATTTTCTGAAAACCACCCTTCACAGAATCTACGGGAAGTTCTTAGGCTTGAGAGCTTACATCAGAAAACAGATTAATAATATATTTTATAGGTAAGTCCATGTGTGGCCCTGCACGGCCACCCCCAACGTCTGCCCCTCTACTGCAGCCGCCGGGCACCCTCCAGAGCCACTCCACCCCCCCATGCCTCACCCTTGTCCTGCTTTGTTTCCATTTTTACTGGAGTGTCCAGTTGGAATGGATGGGTGGACATGCAAATTCCTCCCCTTGTGGGTTGCCTCATCAGCAAGCAAAGGAAGGGTTGGGGTGTGAAGCCATCGTTGTCCAGGTAGGGATGAGGTGTGAAGCCATCATTGTCCAGGTAGGGATGAGGTGTGAAGCCATCATTGTCCAGGTAGGGATGAGGTGTGACATCATCGGTCTCCAGGTAGGGATGAGGTGTGAAGCCATCGTTGTCCAGGTAGGGATGAGGTGTGAAGCCATCATTGTCCAGGTAGGGATGAGGTGTGAAGCCATCATTGTCCAGGTAGGGATGAGGTGTGACATCATCGGTCTCCAGGTAGGGATGAGGTGTGAAGCCATCATTGTCCAGGTAGGGATGAGGTGTGAAGCCATCATTGTCCAGGTAGGGGTGAGGTGTGAAGCCATTGTTGTCCAGGGAGGGATGGGGTGTGAAGCCATCGTTGTCCAGGTATGGTTGAGGTGTGAAGCCATCGTTGTCCAGGTGGGGATGAGGTGTGAAGCCATCGTTGTCCAGGGAGGGATGGGGTGTGACATCATCCGTCTCCAGGAAGGGATGGGGTGTGATGTCATCATTGTCCAGGTAGGGTTGAGGTGTGAAGCCATCGTTGTCCAGGTGGGGATGGGGTGTGAAGCCGTTGTTGTCCAGGGAGGGATGGGGTATGAAGCCATCGTTGTCCAGGGAGGGTTGAGGTGTGAAGCCATCGTTGTCCAGGTAGGGGTGGGGTGTGAAGCCATCATTGTCCAGGTAGGGGTGAGGTGTGAAGCCATTGTTGTCCAGGGAGGGATGGGGTGTGGAGCCATCGTTGTCCAGGTAGGGATGAGGTGTGAAGCCATCGTTGTCCAGGTAGGGATGAGGTGTGAAGCCATCATTGTCCAGGTAGGGATGAGGTGTGAAGCCATCATTGTCCAGGTAGGGATGAGGTGTGACATCATCGGTCTCCAGGAAGGGATGGGGTGTGAAGCCATTGTTGTCCAGGTAGGGTTGAGGTGTGAAGCCATCATGGTCCAGGTAGGGATAGGGTGTGAAGCCATCGTTGTCCAGGTAGGGATGAGGTGTGAAGCCATCATTGTCCAGGTAGGGTTGAGGTGTGAAGCCATCGTTGTCCAGGTGGGGATGGGGTGTGAAGCCGTCGTTGTCCAGGGAGGGATGGGGTGTGAAGCCATCATTGTCCAGGGAGGGATGGGGTGTGAAGCCATCGTTGTCCAAGTAGGGTTGAGGTGTGAAGCCATCGTTGTCCAGGTAGGGTTGATGTGTGAAGCCATTGTTGTCCAGGTAGGGATGAGGTGTGACGTCATCGGTCTCCAGGAAGGGATGGGGTGTGATGTCATCATTGTCCAGGTAGGGTTGAGGTGTGAAGCCATCGTTGTCCAGGTGGGGATGGGATGTGAAGCCGTCGTTGTCCAGGGAGGGATGGGGTGTGAAGCCATCATTGTCCAGGTAGGGATGGGGTGTGAAGCCATTGTTGTCCAAGTAGGGATGAGGTATGAAGCCATCATTGTCCAGGTGGAGATGGGGTTTGAAGCCATCATTGTCCAGGGAGGGATTGTTCAGGTAGGGTTGAGGTGTGAAGCCATCGTTGTCCAGGGAGGGGTGAGGTGTGACATCATCGGTCTCCAGGAAGCCGCAGGTCTGTGCATGCAAGTGAGAGGTCTGGGGGCTCCTGTTATGTACCTGGGAAAGGAGACCTGCAGAAGCTGCAGGGGGCACAGACCACATGGCTGTCCCTGGGCCTGTGGGAGCCCACGCTGTGGTTGCAGATGTCCTGGCACAGCCCTGAAGTCACGGAGAAATGCTTCTAGCATACCAAGTGCAGGGCTCACGTGACTCCCCAGCCCCCAGCCTCGTGGATCCTTGCAGTCTGAACGTCTCTCTGACCCACCAGCGTCTGCCATCTGCTGCTGCCTTTGCCCCTGGAGCGGTTCCTGAATGAGCAGTGGATTCTGCACATGTTGGCTTCTCAGGTCAGCTCGCCCCTTGCAACATGTGACTCCAGGATGGCTCGAGGCAGTGATAGCTCCTAGCAGTGGCGGGGACAAGAGTGGCACCGTCGCTCTGTGACTTGAGGACGAGAAGCTGCAGGGCCAGGGCATCGCCTGGACAAGGCCAGGTATCCCCCACGGCAGACACACAGGTCAGGCAGAGCCTCCTGCCGGGGAAGAGCAAACAGGGAGCTGAGACGGAGGGCGGTGGATCATCCACACCGCCGAGACCAGCAGCCCTCTGAGGGCATCCCATTTCATCAGTGCCGTCCCAGCCTGGTCGGCAGGCTGCACAGAAGCCCCCCTCCCACCTCGCACTGTCCAACAGCCTCGAGGCTCCAGCTCCACCCCCAGGCCTTCTCCCGTCAGAGCTGCTGTGCGGCTCCACCTTGAACGCCTGCTGCATCCCCACCGTCGGTTTCCGCAGCAGAGCCCACGGCCAGCTGGGATCAGTGACGTCAGTCTCCGGGGCGTTGTGTTCCTGTTTCTTGTATCATGTTCTCCTGCTCTGCGAGGTCGTATTTGGCTGATGTACTTACCTAGCAGAACGTGTCATTTAAAAACATGGACAGGTGCAATTGAACTTAAATTCCAGTCTTTTAGGCCTGAACTGAAACAGTACCCAGTGCTCCTGCTTTCTTGGCCCTGGTAGGATTTGTAGATGGGGAAGTCACACAGCCATTGAGCACTTGCTTGAAAGAGCTAGAAAACGCGCCACACCTTCAGGAACCTAGTTTAACAGCTGTAGGAATACCTAACCAGTTATGACTACACGCGGTTTACTTCAGCTGTCGCGCAAGGCTTGATACCACAATGTGGTCTTTTTCTGGACTTGGGGTTTTGGGGTGTTGTTGTTGTTCAATCTTTCTTTCAATTATCTTAATATATGCAGTCAAAACCAAGCGTATTGCTTGGATTCCATAACTGGTCTGAGTTCTCACCATCAGTGCCACTCCTTCCTCGTTCCATGGGAGAAAAGGCAGGCGAGCTGGGCCCTGTGTTCAGCTGCACCGTGTTGAGCTGTGTCTTGCAGCTACACCCAGTCGGGAAGAAAGTGTTTCAGACAGATTTGGTTCAACTTTCTGAAAAGGTTAATGTAAAAGTTCCTATTTATAACTAGTCTTTGATTCTAGTCGGCTGTTGAGATGCCAGTTAAACAGTGTTGCCTGCCCTGGCAAGCAGTGGAAGGCACAGGGCTCACCGGGATGCTCCCTGCTGGGGGAGGGGCTCTGCAGAGCCTGGGACCCGCCTGGGCTGCCTCCCGCGGGGGGCAGGGCTCACTCAGTAATTTCCAGGCCCACAACTGCTTCCAGGAGGGAAGGAAGGGAGCCGACCAGAACTGGCTTTGGTCAGAGCAGCTCACAGAACAGTCTGGATCAAAGGGAGGGGAGACAGGCTCCGCCTCTGTGTGGGGCGCACAGCACACTAGCAGGGAGGAATGGGATGGACGGTACCCAGCTTGTGGCTAAGCACCGCCCTTAGAGGTTACGGCCGAGCGGGTGACCACAGGCAGCCCCGGGCCTGCGGAGGGGCTGGCAGCGTGCTGGAGCAGAGATGTGACTTTCTGCACTTGCACTGTTTTAGGTATTTCAGATCAAAAAGTGAAGCGAAAAGGAACCTGCAGGTGGAGCTTTCTCAGGTACAGCACTCCTTAGTGGAGACGCTGCAGAGGTCTGAGAGCAGAACCGACAGGAACCCCTCCTTGTGACTGTGCCGCCACCCTGCTCGGCCCCGGGTTCCATCCCCATTCTCCTGTTACTGCGCTCCTGCCGCTGTTCTGCTTCCGGTGCCTGGGCCTGGGCCTCGGTCACCCTGCTCTGGCCCTGCAGCCCCGCACGCTGCCTTGCCCACTTCAGCTCCTTGACCCCTCCTTGAGAAGCAGCTCCCAGCTGTGGGTGTGTGACCCGCTCTTGACCTTGAGGGCCCCCGTCCATTTGTTACAGACAAGGAAGAGGAGACTGCAGCGTGATTGTGTTCAATCTTGCCAGACCTTCACCTTCGGCTTCCATCTGATAGGCAGGGACCTGTCCCCACACCGCTCTCACTTTGTGCAGGTGACTCTGCCGTGTGGGCTCAGACCCACTCTGGGAGCCGGGCCAGGCAGGAGCGTTGTCTATGGGAATCCTCTGCAGGGGCACAGCTTCCTTCTCCCGACACGTCCCCGTTCTGTCTCCTGTCCTCGGTTTAGTCAACAGATGGGTTCCAAGTCTGGCAGATGCTATGTGTAATCCTAGCACCAAGAATCCGGGACAAGTCTTGTCCCTGTGCTCAGGGTCCCATCTGGAAGGAGACAGGCCTACACAGGAGGTGGGGTGCAGGAGCTCCCCACAGGCACAGCAGGCCTAGCAGGCCAGGGCTGCATAGGGGAGATGCTGGGGCCCAGGGCCAGGGTGTGAGTGGAGAAGTAGACAAGAGGTGTTCAGAAGAGACCGTCCATCCTTTGCAGGGACTGTGCTAAACATGGCAGACTCCAAAACTGAGCAAGCATCAGCTTACGTAGTAGGTTGCAGGGCAGTGGGCAGTAAATGGACAGGTAGAGGGGAGTGTGGTGATGGAGGGGCTCTGATAAAGCCAGCCGGGCAGGCTGAGGGGTCGAGTCAGGGGGCAAGCTTTTCTAGGTGCTTAACACGTTTCAAAATGAGGCCCTTGCCTGGAGAAAGGTGTGCAGCAGGTGGGTGAGCCCTCTGCCCTCCAGGCTGTGGGGTCACACCTGGGTTCCTACAGGGCCGCCTGGTACCAGTGAGCGGCTGCCCCCAAAGGGCGTCCCACACGGGTGTGCTCTCTGCCACCGGCCCCCCGCCCCTCCGTGTCTCAGGTCAGTGTCGGTCCTAACCAACACTTTGTTTTCTCTAGGTTTATTTATGAAACAGAGCATCACAATGGCATAGCAGAATTACTGGAAATACTGGGAAGGTGAGTCTGTGTGTGCCAGAAGGATCTAGAAGGAGCTGCGTCTTGGAGCCCAGCTCCCCTTTCCACGGGGCGAGGCAGCGAACGCTGCCCCCAGAAGAGTTCTGTGGAGTGCCACCCTGGCATCACAGCTCGCCCAGCGACATCCCCACCTGTGCTCCTGTGCGTGGCTTCTCCCTCCCTCTCCTCACATCATCTCTATGGATACACCATCGAAATGACTTCCTCAAGAACAGTGTTAAAATAGTGACATGAGCAGGTTAATACTGGAAGCCTGTGAGAAGAAGGGGTTGTACATACAGGATACTGAGTAAATCCAAATATTTCAAGTTGCTTTGATCTTAACAGATTTAAAAAAAAAAAAAAAAAAAAACAGCATTTCAGAAGTTCTATCATCTAAACCCAAGTAAAGTTTTTGCTGGTTTTTTTTTTTAATCAACCTATAGATTTTATGTTAGATTTTATGTTAGACCTCCAAGCCCGTTTGCCGAGCAGAACTCCGCAGGGTTCGTGGCAAGCGCCCTTGGAGCACTTCTGTCCGGGACCTTCCCAGGAACTGGGCCGCGGGGGAGCCTGCAGCAGAGGCGGGGTGGCTCCCTGCGGTGTCGGGAGGATCTTTCCTCATGGGACACGCCACCATCCGGGGGATCGGTGCTGCCTGGTGGTTCTGAGACGTGATGGGATGGGACATCAGTCCTCTCCGAGAGTCCTGGGTGTGGCTCGGGGGCTGCCCCCAGGTCACTGTATGACCTTGGGCAAGCTTCCCTATAAGTCGGGGAGACTCTGCACCTCCCTCGTGTGTGGCTGTCAGAGTGGGCGCACCGAGAAGTGCTGGGCGCAGGCCTCAGGGCCACTGTGCCGCTCTGCCTTCTCCCAGAAGCGGTGTACTGGGCAGCCTGTCACCGTGACCGGCCACCATGCCTGAGTGACGAGTAGTGGGGGACGGAGTTAGGAGTTGCTCCTCCTCCTCCCGCAGCCCCTGGGAACACTGACCAGCCTTTGCCTGATTATGACACCTGATGGATAAACTCAGAAGTCTGAGACAGAAACTTTAGAGTTTACAGGTGGCCGGCGCCACGGCTCAGTAGCTAATCCTCTGCCTGCGGCGCTGGCACACCGGGTTCTAGTCCCAGTCGGGGTGCCGGATTCTGTCCCGGTTGCTCCTCTTCCAGTCCAGCTCTCTGCTGTGGCCCGGGAAGGCAGTGGAGGATGGCCCAAGTGCTTGGGCCCTGCACCCCATGGGAGACTAGAAGTACCTGGCTCCTGCCATCGGATCAGCGCGGTGCGCCAGCTGCAGCGGCCATTGGAGGGTGAACCAACGGCAAAGGAAGACCTTTCTCTCTGTCTCTCTCTCTCACTGTCCACTCTGCCTGTCAAAATAAATAAATAAATAAATAATTTAGAGCTTACAGGTAGGACTTCCTTCCCTGGCAGAAGGGAACAGCTTTGATCCTTAACCAGCACCTCCTGCTCCAGCTTGTTCTCCACTGCCCACGCGGGAGGGCCGAGCCTGACTTCCTCCAGGAGGCCAGCGAGCGAGGCAGGGTGCTGGGTGTGGGAGACGCCCCCAGGAGGCCATGATCGAGGCATGATGCTGGGTGTGGGAGACACCCCAGGAGGCCAGTGAACAGGGAGGGTGCTGAATATGGGGGAGACGCCCCAGGAGGCCATAAGCGAGGCAGGGTGCTGGGTGTGGGGGAGACGCCCCAGGAGGCCAAGAGCGAGGGAGGGTGCTGGGTGTGGGGGAGACGCCCCAGGAGGCCAAGAGCGAGGCAGGGTGCTGGGTGTGGAGGAGACGCCCCCAGGAGCTCCTGCTGTTCTAGCGTCCCCCTGTCAGTGCAGTTTTTAAGTGACCTCACAGCTAGAAGGGAGACATGGCTAAGCTTCCCTGAAGGCATTTCATTCTTCATGTCTACTGAGGTTCTCGTTTCTCTGAAACATTCCACCTGCTGGGCTCTCATGTGGAAAACAAAGTAAGAGAAAAACCCCAAACTGTTTGTAATCTGCAATTTGTAAATACTCAAACCTCGAATCTTTTTTATTTTTTGCAGTATAATTAACGGATTTGCCTTACCACTCAAAGAAGAGCACAAGATTTTCTTACTGAAGGTGTTGTTACCTTTGCACAAAGTGAAGTCCCTGAGTGTCTACCACCCCCAGGTGAGGGCGGGCGGGGACCGCTGCTGCTGGGACAGCGAGTCAGCCTAGAAGGGCGGGCGGGGACCGCTGCTGCTGGGACAGCGAGTCAGCCTAGAAGGGCGGGCGGGGACCGCTGCTGCTGGGACAGCGAGTCAGCCTAGAAGGGCGGGCGGGGACCGCTGCTGCTGGGACAGCGAGTCAGCCTAGAAGGGCGGGCGGGGACCGCTGCTGCTGGGACAGCGAGTCAGCCTAGAAGGGCGGGCCGGGGACCGCTGCTGCTGGGACAGCGAGTCAGCCTAGAAGGGCGGGCCGGGACCGCTGCTGCTGGGACAGCGAGTCAGCCTAGAAGGGCGGGCGGGGACCGCTGCTGCTGGGACAGCGAGTCAGCCTAGAAGGGCGGGCGGGGACCGCTGCTGCTGGGACAGCGAGTCAGCCTAGAAGGGCGGGCGGGGACCGCTGCTGCTGGGACAGCGAGTCAGCCTAGAAGGGTGTGTTTCGAGTTACATCATTGACTTTGGTAACGAGGCTCTGCCAGTAATTGAAAGGATAAGAAGGTAAAGCAAGATTGCTTTTACGGAGTTCAGAGGGGAGGGCATTTGGCACAGGGGTCAAGATACCACCTGGGGGGACACGCGCATCCCATACCCAAGTGCCTGGGGTCAGTCCCAGCTCTGCCCTGGGAGGCAGCAGTGATGGCTCCAGTGTTCGGGCCCTGCCACCCACATGGCAGACAGGACGGAGCGCCCAGCTCCTCACTTCCTCTGGGCCCAGCTCTGGCTGTTGCAGGCATTTAGGGAATGAACTAGCAATGGAAGAGTCAGTCTCTCTCTCTGCCTTTCAAATAAATAATTTTTCTTTAATTTCAGAAAAAATTTCTGGAAGGCAGAATTTTAAATGAGTTTTAACTTCTCAAAGGAAAATTACCTAATACCTTAGAGAAAAATCTGAGAGTTCCATGCCAAATTAAATGACATAGGAAAACATCTTTTTAAAAACCTGTGGACTGGGCCAGCGCCACGGCTCACTAGGCTAATCCTCCGCCTAGCGGCGCCGGCACACCGGGTTCTAGTCCCGGTCAGGGCGCCGGATTCTGTCCCGGTTGCCCCTCTTCCAGGCCAGCCCTCTGCTGTGGCCAGGGAGTGCAGTGGAGGATGGCCCAGGTGCTTGGGCCCTGCACCCCATGGGAGACCAGGAAAAGCACCTGGCTCCTGGCTCCTGCCATCGGATCAGCGCGGTGCGCCGGCCGCAGCGGCCATTGGAGGGTGAACCAACGGCAAAGGAAGACCTTTCTCTCTGTCTCTCTCTCTCTCACTGTCCACTCTGCCTGTCAAAAAAATAAATAAATAAAAAATAATAATAAAAAATAAAAAAAAATAATAAAAAAAAAAACCTGTGGACTGGCCGGCGCCGCAGCTCAATAGGCTGATCCTCCGCCTTGCGGCGCCGGCACACCGGGTTCTAGTCCTGGTCGGGGTGCCAGATTCTGTCCCGGTTGCCCCTCTTCCAGGCCAGCTCTCTGCTGTGGCCAGGGAGTGCAGTGGAGGATGGTCCAAGTGCTTGGGCCCTGCACCCCAGGGGAGACCAGGAGAAGCACCTGGCTCCTGCCTTCAGATCAGCGCGGTGTGGCGGCCATTGGAGGGTGAACCAACGGCAAAGGAAGACCTTTCTCTCTGTCTCTCTCACTGTCCACTCTGCCTGTCAAAAAAAAAAAAAAAAAAAAAAACCTGTGGACTGGGGCCAGCACTGTGGTGTAGCAGGTAAAGCCGCCGCCTACATCCCATATGGGCGCCGGTTCGAGACCTGGCTGCTCCACTTCCGATCCAGCTCTCAGCTGTGCCCTGGAAAAGCAGTAGAAGATGGCCCAAGTCCTTGGGCCCTGTACCCACATGGGAGACCCATAAGAAGGTCCTGGCTCCTGGCTTCAGATCGGCCCATCTCCGGCCATTGCAGTCAACTGGGGAGTGAACCAGCGGATGGAAGACCTCTCCATCTCTCTGTCCCTCTCTCTCTCTCTCTCTCTCTCCCTCTCTCCCTCTCTCCCTCTCTCCCTCTCTCTCCCTCTCTTCTCTTTGTGTAACTCTGACTTTCATATAAACAAATAAATCTTAAAAAAAACCTGTGGACGTGGGGTGGGGCACAGTGCTGAAGATGCCACTTGGGCCACCCGCATCCCATATCCGAGTGCCTGGGTTCAAGTCCCAGTACCACTTGCAGCTCCAGCTTCCTGCTGATGTCGACCCTGGGAGCAGCAAAACTTGAGCACTAACGTTCCTGCCACTCCCATGGGGGAGCCCGACAGTGCCACACCCTGGCCCAGCACTGGCTGTCGTAGGCATCTGGGGAGTGAACCCACGGATGGAAGGTTGGTCCCTTCCTCCATCCCTCTCCCCTCTGCCCCTCTATGTATCTGTGTGTGTATCTGTCTTTGTCAAAGTCTGTCTTTCAAATAAATATAAGTGAAAAAAATTCTAAAAGCTTGGATTTTTCTTTTGAGAAGAAGAGAGCTACTATCTGCTGTTCACTCCCCAAATTCCTGCAATGGCCAGGCTGAAGATGGGAGCCAGAAGTCAATCCAGGTCTCCTGAGTGGATGGCAGAAGTCCAGTTACCTGGGGCCAGCGCTGTGGCTCAGCAGGTTAAGCTGCCATCCACAGTGCCAATGTCCCACATGGACACCAGGTCAAGCCCCAGATGCTCCACTTCTAATCCAGCTCCCTATTAACGTGCCTGGGAAGGCAGCAGAGAATGGCCCAAGTCCTTACACCCCTGCACTTGCGTGGGAGACCTGGATGAAGCTCCTGGCTCCTGTTGCAGCCATCTAGGGATTGAACCAGCAGATGGAAGATCTCCCTCTCTCTTTCCCTCTCTCTCTCTCTGTAATTATAATAATAAAATCTTAAATTTTATTATTCAAATAAGGTAAAATGAAGCTTTAGAAAAAGAAGCCCTATTGCTTGAGCCACTATTGCTGCCTGCCAGTTTGCATTTGCAGGAAGCTGGAGTCAGGGGCCAGAGGCAGGTGTTGACTCAGGCATTTTGATATGGGATGCAGGCATCTTAACCACAAGACCAGACACCCAGCCGTAAAAAGCCGGGAATTTTTAGAACTGGACTCTGCACTTTCACTGAAATATTGCTCAGCTGTGGTTGCTAACTGATGAGGCGCTGCGTTTACCTAGGAGGCTTGGTCTCTCTCTCAGGTTCAGGCAGAGCTCAGGCTGTGCTGACTGCAGCGTGCTGAAGGGCGAGGGAGGCCCCGCCCCGTCCGCAGCCGTTACCTTCGTCCCCTGAGCTGTGCTGGGGCTGGCACTAGCAGGCACACCACAGTGTACGCTCCAGACGGGGCTGGCACTAGCAGGCACGCCACAGTGTGCGCTCCAGACGGCCTGAGTTTGTGGCAAGGGATGAATTCCAGGAAGTATAGCCTTTAATTGGTTCTAATGACTTAGGCTTCCTGGGCTGTATTTGACCTCCCTTCTCTGGGTGCCAGTGACTAGGAATATCTTTCCATCCAGCCAGATTGTTACCATGTTCAGAGTACGAAAGAAATTAATGGTTAGTACAAGATGGAGCCAGGTTTTCAGTGTTTTTTCCCAGCTGCTAGATTACAAGTTCATCACGGTCTCCAGGTGGACCACAGGAAACCCGTCACACTGGTCTGACGCGGTGCAGGCGTTGGTCTAAAGGACGCGTCCTGTTCACTGTTTTTAGCTTCCTATCGCCAGTTAACAGGGAGCGTCAGTCCCGGGGTCCCTCCCTGCTGGGGGCCCACCAGGCCACAGGCGGCTTACCCTGGGGCCAGCAGCGCAGTCACGTCAGGCCCTTGCCCTGCCAAGGACCGCGTTCTAGAAGAGACACAGCCGCGTGTCCACGTGAAATGCAGCACTAACGCTCTCCTCTGCTTCCTTGCAGCTGGCCTACTGTGTCGTGCAGTTTCTAGAGAAGGACAGCACCCTCACGGAACCAGTAAGCGCTCGCTCTCGCTCTGCTCTTTCTCTCCTGGCCCACACTGCGCCAGTGCAGACTGCCCAGGTGCTCTCAGGCAGGGTTTTCCTCTGGCATGGCAGTCGGGTGAACACTGGCTCCGTCCGTGTGTTACAGTGCGCAGAGTGTGGTCATTTTAACTGTGGGGATCCTTATTGCAGTGCTCATACGTCATGACATGGCCGCCCTCCTCACCACACAAGGCAGCAGCACGGTGCCTCCGGCTCTGTCGCGCCTAGCTTCAGCCGGAGCGAGAGCCTGAGCTGCGTGTGGTGCTAAGGGGGCTTTGTAACCTCAGATTCTTGCCAGCTTAGACTGGTCAGAGTCACGGATGTTGGATTCCAACAACCCCATTTTGGATTTCTAATTTCTTTGGTATTTTATCTATGTCAAAAATATAAGGGAGGGCTGGCGCCGCGGCTCACTAGGCTAATCCTCCGCCTTGCGGCGCCGGCACACCGGGTTCTAGTCCCGGTCAGGGCGCCGGAGTCTGTCCCGGTTGCCCCTCTTCCAGGCCAGCTCTCTGCTGTGGCCAGGGAGTGCAGTGGAGGATGGCCCAAGTGCTTGGGCCCTGCACCCCATGGGAGACCAGGAGAAGCACCTGGCTCCTGCCATCGGATCAGCGCGGTGCGCCGGCCGCAGCAGCCATTGGAGGGTGAACCAACGGCAAAGGAAGACCTTTCTCTGTTTCTCTCTCTCACTGTCCACTCTGCCTGTCAAAAAAAAAAAAAAAAAATGCAAGGGCTTTTTGTAGCGTAGATTAACCAAATCTGGCATTTGAATATACGTTTACTGACTTATAATTCACTTGCCATGTAATTCATCTGTTTAAATTACACATTCAGTGGTCGCTGGTGTATTAGGTTAACTTTTTAATTGTGATAAAAGATAACGTGAAAGTTGTCATTTTGACGATTTGACACGTGAAATTCTGCGGCATTAATTACGTGCACAGTGCTGTGCGGCCATTCCACTGTGGTCGTCCCAAATAGAAACTCTATAGACACGAAGGTGCACCTCCCCACCTCGCCTGCCCCCACCCCTGCCAACCTGTAACCCACCTTCTGACGGTGACGACTTTAGGTTCCTCATGCAAGTGCAGTTATGAAGTCTGTCTCCTTTTGTGCCTGACAAATTTTGCTGGTGTAACAGCTCGTAAGGCTCCTCCTTGCTGTCTCGGGGATCAGAGCTTCGTGCCCTGTTGTAGCTGAATCGTGTTCCTCGGGGCGCAGAGACTGTACCTGCTGATCCCTGTGTCCGTGGATGGACACTGGCTGTCCCACCTTTTAGCTTCCTGAATACTGCTGCTGTGAACACGGTGTGCGTACACACGCTGTTCAGCTTCCTGGCTTCAGTCACCCAGAAGTGGGATTGCTGCACTCAGGGGCCACCGTGTGTTCAGCTCCCCAAGCAGCCCCGTCCTGCCGCCCACAGCCACTGTACGTTTCGCTTGCCCACCAGCAGCGTCCTGCACTTCCATTTCCTCTCCCTCCTCACCAACGCTTATTTTCCATTCCTTTTTTTTAAGAGTCATTTTATTTTATTTGAAAGGCAGAGTTCCAGAATGAGAGAGGGAGGGAGGGAGAGAGAGAGGGAGAGAGAGGGAGAGGGAGAGAGAGAGAGAGAGAGCGCGCTTCCATCTGTTGGTTCACTCCCCAAATGACTTCAACGACGGGCTGGGCCAGGCTGAAGTCAGGAGTCAGGAGCTTCTTCCAGGTCTCCGAGGTGGGTGCAGGGGCCCAAGTACTCGGACCATCCTCCACTGCTCTCAGAGGCGCATTAGCAGAAGCTGGGTCAAAGTGGAGCAGCCGGGACTGAAACCCACGCCCATATGGGATGCCGGCACTGGCGGTGGTGGCGTAACCCACTGCACCACAACGCTGGAAGCCCTCCGTCTTTTTTTTTTTTTTTTTTTAAGGAAAAATGTCTCTTTAAATCCATTGCCCGTTTTATTGATTGGATTGTTTTTCATTATTGAGTAACAAAAGTAAGCAGTGGTAAGTTCCCATCTAAACGTTTGGATACTCTTGGATAGGTTGCTATAAGAATAGGACAGAGAGGCCGGCGCCGCGGCTCACTAGGCTAATCCTCCACCTTGCGGCGCCGGCACACCGGGTTCTAGTCCCGGTCGGGGCGCCGGATTCTGTCCCGGTTGCCCCTCTTCCAGGCTAGCTCTCTGCTGTGGCCCGGGAGTGCAGTGGAGGATGGCCCAGGTGCTTGGGCCCTGCACCCCATGGGAGACCAGGAAAAGCACCTGGCTCCTGGCTCCTGCCATTGGATCAGCGCGGTGCGCCGGCCGCAGCGCGCCGGCCGCGGCGGCCATTGGAGGGTGAACCAACGGCAAAGGAAGACCTTTCTCTCTGTCTCTCTCTCTCACTGTGCACTCTGCCTGTCAAAAAAAAAAAAAAAAAAAAAAAAGAATAGGACAGAGAGCCAGGGCTGTGGCGTAGTAGGCTAAGCCTCGACCTACAGTGCTGGTTCAAGTCCCAGCTGCTTTTCTGATCCAGCTCTCTGCTATGGCCTAGGAAAGCAGTGGAAAATGGCCCAAGTGCTTGGGCCCCTACACCCACATGGGAGACCAGGAAGAAGCTCCTAATTTCAGATTGGCCCAGCTCTAGCCGTTGTGGCCATTTGGGGAGTGAACCAGCAGATAGGAGACCTTTCTCTCTCTCTCTCCCTCTCTCTTTCTGTTTTTATTTTTTATTTTATTTTATTTTTTTTTTTTTTTGACAGGCAGAGTGGACAGTGTGAGAGAGAGAGAGAGAGAGAGAGAGAGAGAGAGAGAAAGGTCTTCCTTTTGCCGTTGGTTCAGCCTCCAATGGCCCGCTGCCAGCGCGCTGCGGCCGGCGCACTGCGCTGATCCGATGGCAGGAGCCAGGTACTTATCCTGGTCTCCCATGGGGTGCAGGGCCCAAGCACTTGGGCCATCCTCCACTGCACTCCTGGGCCATAGCAGAGAGCTGGCCTGGAAGAGGGGCAACCGGGACAGAATCCGGTGCCCCGACCGGGACTAGAACCCAGTGTGCCAACGCCGCAAGGTGGAGGATTAGCCTAGTGAGCCGCGGCGCCGGCCTCCCTCTCTTTTTCTGTAACTCTGCCTCTCAGATAAATAAATAAAATCTTTAAAAAACCGGGAACACGAGCCGGCACTTTGGTGTAGCTGGTAAAGCCACCACCTGCAGTTCCAGCATCCCACATGGGCACTGGTTCAAGACCCGGCTGCTCTACTTCCAATCCAGCTCTCTGCTATGGCCTGGGAAAGTGGTAGAAGATGGCCCAAGTACTGGGCCCCTGCACCCACATGGGAGACCTGGAGGAAATTCCTGGATTCCTGGCTCCTGGCTTTGGATTGGCCCAGCTCCAGCCATTATGGCCATTTAGGGAGTGAACCAGCAGATGGAAGTGCGCTCTCTCTCTCTCTCTCTCTCTGGTTCTGCCTCTCTGTAACTCTGCCTTTCAAATAATTAAATAAATAAATAAATAAATCTTCATTCCACTCAGTACCTGGACGAGGAAGCTGCAGATGCACACATACCTCCACTCTTAGCTTCCTGCTGCAAAGATGACACTGGAGTGCTCTTCTGGCCACAGGGAGCAGATTTTAGTTTTCTGTGCATTGAAGACATTCAGGCACTCTCCTCAACACGTTCCTTCCCGAGAGTTCCTGTCTTCTGAAGGCATGCGGGAGGGCCACTCTTCCTCCTTCAGCACTGGGACCTGGGTGCAGGCTGCTGCACAGCTGTGCATGCCCAGCATACTGGGTGCTGCACCCTGGGTCCTGCCTGGGAGCTGAGACAGTGGCTCCGTGATGCTGCGCCGAGGCTCAGTGGCTGCCCAGAGAAGCAGCCCGCACCTGTGCGGTGTGTGAGGGACTCTGCCGGCTTTGCCCGCACCTGTGCGGTGTGTGAGGGAGTCTGCCGGCTTTGCCCGCACCTGTGCGGTGTGTGAGGGACTCTGCCGGCTTTGCCCGCACCTGTGCGGTGTGTGTGACTCTGCCGGCTTTGCCCGCACCTGTGCGGTGTGTGTGACTCTGCCGGCTTTGCCCGCACCTGTGCGGTGTGTGTGACTCTGCCGGCTTTGCCCGCACCTGTGCGGTGTGTGTGACTCTGCCGGCTTTGCCCGCACCTGTGCGGTGTGTGTGAATCTGCCGGCTTTGCCCGCACCTGTGCGGTGTGTGAGGGAGGCTGCCGGCTTTGCCCGCACCTGTGCGGTGTGTGAGCGAGGCTGCCGGTTTACCTTGTACCTGCTACAGATGCCTCTTTAGGGTCATTGCACTTTTTAGGCACTATGACAGCTAAATTCTAGAGAGATTGTTAATCTACACTGCCTGAGTGAAATCCAGTGTCATGTATTGACTGCTGAGTTCGGGGTCAGACATCAGGAAGCTGCCACATATGAGCAGCGAGGAACCGTCCGTGGAATCTCTTTCTAGCTGTCTTGGGTGAGGAATACAACATCCGGCACCCAGAACCCCCTGCAGCCTGATGGGATGTGACCCGCAGGGAGCCGGCGGCACAGACGCAGAGCGGCAAGCGGTGCTCGCCAGGCTGCCCCCTGCACGCTCGCTGTGCACCACACACCCTCCCACACTGTGGCACCACAGGTGTGCACTCATGGAGCCAGTGCAGCTCCCCTGGCTGTGGGTTAGGTCAGCTCGGTTCCCATCACTCCTTTCATTATGGTATATTTTACCATATATTTTATCATGGTACAATCACCATATACGCACACAGGGATGCACATTTGTGTGGAAATATGTATGTGGGGTCCTTCCAGAAGTTCATGGAAACACGCATTCTCTTTTAATTCCATTTTCCCACCGACTCTGAAAGCGGTTCATTTGAGAAAGAGCCCGCAGCTGCGCGTGCGCTGCCAGCAGTTCAGAGCTCGCGACTCCACACTCAAGTGTGCGTGGCCGTGTGCTGGGGCTCTCACCAGGCAGAGGACTCGCTCCCTGTTCCCACTGCTCCCATTCTCTCTCAACTCTGCCGGCTTGTTCATCTTTTTTTAAGGAACTCTTAGTGAAACTGGTGGTTGATCAGCGAGTGGAACGTGTGAATTTAGACCATGGATCTAAAGCACATAAAATTTGACCTGTTTCTCATAGAAACCACTGGTGACTGACTCAGCGTTCCTTCTCCAAGGGAGACAGCCCAGCTTGCTCCGTGGCTGGGCCGCGGGGACCCCTCCCTGGAGATGCAGACCCCCCCCCCACTCTGTAGATGTGGGCCCGAGGCATCACTGTTCTGTCCTGTCTTCCCTAGGTGGTGATGGCACTCCTCAAATATTGGCCAAAGACTCACAGTCCAAAAGAAGTCATGTTCTTAAACGAATTAGAAGAAATATTAGACGTCATCGAACCTTCCGAGTTTGTGAAAATCATGGAGCCCCTGTTCCGGCAGCTGGCCAAGTGCGTCTCCAGCCCGCACTTCCAGGTAGGCGGGGCTCGGGGAGGGAGAACCAGGCGTTCCGCTTCGGCCACGACAGGACTCGGCGCGCAGCCGGGTGTGGCGTGCTGCTGTGTAACCGAAAGGTGGAGATGCGAGTTTTCCCCTCAGTTGGCCCTCGGGGTCGAGGTGCTGAGATGCACTTGGACATCTTGTCGCCGTCAGGGAAAGCGTCTTTCTCTGTAAGACTCGTGGGAAACGGCTCCTCTGCCCAGCGTCTTTGACCTCAAGGCAGTGCACTCCCCGTCCGTAAAACCTTACTTTCTGAAAGCGAGCAGCAACAGGTAATGGAAACCAGCTCGGAATGGTCTCCCTTCCTGAGCCGTTCACGCCTGGCAGCACGTAAGCTCATCCACTTCTTGACCCTTTAAAAATTCATCATCTACCAAATTGCTGTCTGAGGACGACTGTGACCCCCTTCCCGTCCTCTTCCTGACTTCCTCTGCAGCCCTCCGCAGGTCCCAGCCCCTCCGCAGGTCCCAGCCCCTCTCCCGAGGCGTTCCCTGGGCCTCTGCAGCCTGCCTGCTCCTCTGACTCCAGCCGCTAGCCTCTGGCATCCGGTGCTCTGTGATCAAGATAAAGGTGTAAAAGACAAGCACGACTTAGAGGTGTCCTGGGAGGCGGTGACGGCAGGCTCCGAGAAACCCTTCCAGAGGCAGATAGCAAACCAACGGAAGGCAGTCCTCACGACCAACAGAGTTAAGACAGAGACGCACAGCCGATGGCAGAGCTCGGTGGGGCAGGGCTCCGACAGGTCCAGCTTGGGCTGAGGAAGGGCACGGCTTACGGCATCGTCTCCTCCACTGCCGAGAGTTCTTAGGTTAGAGGTGTCTGAGCTCCCACCCAAGGAACCAGGCAAGGGAGCTTGTGTCTGGCAGGCTTGTGTCTGGTGTGAGCTGTGTGTCATTTCCTAGACAAGGCGGGGATCAGCACTCCAGGGCACAGCCAAGCAGCAGCCCACAGCGGCAGGCGCCCACCAGGCCTCTGCCCAGGTGAACAGGTCGCCATTGGCACAAGTGGTATGTCCTTCCATAGGACACAACCAAGGACACAGCCACACCACGCTTTTTTTTTTTTTAAGATTTATTTATTTAGTTGAACGGCAGAGTTACAGAGAGACAGAGGCAGAGAGCGCTCTTGCATCCACTGGTTCACTCCCCAAATGGTGGCAATGGCTGGGGCTGGGCTGATCTGAAGCCAGGAGCCAGGAGCTTTGTACAGTTGTCACTCATGGGTGCAGGGCTCAAACACATGAGCCATCTTCTGCTGCTTTCCCAGGCCGTTAACAGAGAGCTGGATTGGAAGTGGAGCAGCCGGGACAAGAACCGGCACCCATGTAGAATGCCGGCGCTGCAGGCAGTGGCTTTACCCACTGCGCTACAGTGTCAGCCCCCACAGCTCGCTTCTAATCAAGCATGTACAGGAGAGAACGCCATGTGGGGAAGTGGGCAGCCAGGAGGTCCTGCTGCTGCCAAGATGAGCGTGAGTCAAGGCCCTGCCCCATGGGCACCCTCCACCCAGCACAGAGCGAGAGGAGCCTGGGACAGGCCGGCGCCTGGCTGGATGCTCTCAGGACAGCCTGGCCGTGCTGCACTCCCTGCCGCCGCTCTGCCTCTTCTCTGCCCTGGTGAGCACAGGGTGGCGCCCACTTCCGGAAGACCCAGGTCAGTCCCAGGGATATTCCAGGAAGTCTTACAGGTTCGTGCACGTGAGGCCAGCTCCACCTTCATCGTAGGTTATGCTCTCACCAAACAAGAGAGGCTGAAGAACATCTCAAAGCATTAAGCATCTGAAGTGTTAGTTTCTTTTTTTAATTTTTTATTAATTCTATTAATTTTTAATTAATTAATTTTATTGATTTTAATTTTTTGATTTAATTTTAGTTGTCTCATGGAACCATCAGAAGCCATGGTGGTCCATCACTTTTTTAAAAAAGATTTATTTTGTTTTTAATTTATTTATTGTCTCTCCCAGAGAGGGAGAGACAGAAGGGTCTTCACTCCCTAAATGGCCACAATGGCCAGAGTTGGGCCAATCCAAAACCAGGACCAAGAGCCGGGAGCCTCTTCTGGGTCTCCCACATGCATGCAGGGGCCCAAGCACTGGGGCGCCTTCCACTTCCAGGCCACAGCAGAGCTGGATCAGGAGGAGGAGCAGCTGGGACACAAACCAGCACCCATACGGGATGCCGGCACCACAGGCGGAAGCTTAGCCTACTGTACCATGATGCCAGCCCCTCTGTTTTCTTTATTTTATTCTAGTTGTGCATGTTTTGGGGTACAGTGTGATAACTTGATACAGGCATATGATGTGAAGTGATCAAATCAGGGTTTGGTTGACAGGTAGTACTTGTGCACATCTATGGTGTACAGTGAGATTTTAGTACATGTATACTGATCGAATGCATTGGCGCAACATTTGTTCCTCTACCAGTTCATAAAATGTGTACAAGGTCATGTGCACTGGGCCACGGGCTGTGCTGCAGCAAGTAGAACTCCCTCCTTTCTGGCCAGCTCCCTGACCCTGCCTGCAGCCCCCGCCCCTCCCACCTGCCAACCCAGGAACCACTGCCGCGACTTCAAATTGGGCTTTTCCTTCAGCCTCCCCATGGGAGATCGCACAGCACCTGTCGCTCCATTTACTACAGTGTCCTCCACTTCATCCACGTTCCTGGGAGTGACAGGGTGTCTCCTTCTTATGGCTAACGAGTATCCATGTGTGTTTGCTCCACACTTCACCCAGGTGTCCATTGGTGGACTCCGAGGTGACTGCGTGTGGTGACTGTTGCTGGCAGTGCAGCAGTGCATGTGGGTGTGCAGGCGCCGCCTCTGCGTGGACAGGAGCTCCTGGCTCCTGGCTTCGGACCAGCGCAGCACCGGCCGTAGCAGCCATTTTGGGAGAGAACCAGCAGAAGGAAGACCTTTCTCTCTGTCTCTCTCACTGTCTGTAACTCTACCTGTCAAATCAATAAATAAAAAAAAGAAGTTATCAGAAAATCTTTTCCTATGATGGGATGCTTTCAGTGGCTCATCTTCATTCTTGGTGTAAATTTTGATGATTCATTTCATGGTGTGCACGTCTCCCTTTATGGCACAGAATCTGATGATGATCAGGCATGACTCTACCTCACTGATTCTCAGTATGTTTTTCTATAAAATGTAAACAGTCGTCAGCCTGCTGGGTCATCACATAGCTCTGTTAGTGTCTTGGGAAACTCCAGTACTATTCTCCATGATGGCTGTACTAATGACTCCCTCTCAGCAGTGCACCACACCCCCACCACGTGGACAGTGCACATCCCCCAATAGTGCACCACGTCCCTCCCCCTTGTGGCCAGTGCACATCCCACCAACATGCACCACGCCCCTCCCCAACACAACCAGTGCACATCCCCCAACAGGGCACCACACCCCTCCCCCCACATGGCCAGTGCACACACCCCCCAACAGGGCACCACGCCCCTCCCCAACACAACCAGTGCACACCCCCCCAACTGGGCACCACGCCCCTCCCCAACACAACCAGTGCACACCCCCCCAACAGTGCACCACGTCCCTCCCCCCACATGGCCAGTGCACACCCCCCCAACAGTGCACCACACCTCCTTCCCCCACATGGCCAGTGCACACCCCCCCAACAGTGCACCACGCCTCTCCCCCCACATGGCCAGTGCACACCCCCCAACAGTGCACCACGTCCCTCCCCCCACAGGAAAAGTGCACCCCTCCCAACAGTGTACCACGCCCCTCCCCCCACATGGCCAGTGCACATCCCCCAACAGGGCACCACGTCCCTCCCCCACGTGGCCAGCATTTGTTTTTCTCCTTTTCATCGTAGCCTTTCTAACCTGGGGTAAGATGATACCTCATTGTTTGTATTTCCCTGATGTCTAATGATCTTTAGGCGTTTTTCATAAATTTGTTGTAAACTTCAATCTCTTCTTTTGAGAAGTGTCCATTTGATTTGTGTCACTTGCCTATTTTTAATTGGGTTGTCTTTGTGTTACTGAGTTTTTTAATTTCTTATATATTCTTTTTTTTTTAAACAGGCAGAATTAGACAGTGAGAGAGAGAGACAAAGAGAAAGGTCTTCCTTTCCATTGGTTCACCCCCCAAATGGCTGCTGCAGCCAGCGCGCTGCACTGATCCAAAGCCAGGAGCCAGGTGCTTCCCCCTGGTCTCCCATGCAGGTGCAGGGCCCAAGGACTTGGGCCATCCTCCACTGCCTTCCCGGGCCACAGCAGAGAGCTGGACTGGAAGAGGAACAACTGGGACAGAATCCGGCGCCCCAACCGGGACTAGAACCTGGGGTGCCGGCACCACAGGCAGAGGATTAGCCAAGTGAGCCATAGCACTGGCCTTAATTTCTTATGTATTCTTTTTTTTTTTTTTTTTTTTTTTGACAGGCAGAATTAGACAGTGAGAGAGAGAGACAGAGAGAAAGGTCTTCCTTTCCGTTGGTTCACCCCCCCTAATGGCCGCTACAGCCGGCACGCTGTGGCCAGCGCGCTGCAGATCCGAAGCCAGGAGCCAGGTGCCTCCTCCTGGTCTCCCATGAGGGTGCAGGGCCCAAGCACTTGGGCCATCCTCCACTGCACTCCTGGGCCACAGCAGAGAGATGGACTGGAAGAGGAGCAACCGGGACAGAATCCGGCACCCCAACCAGGGCTAGAACCCGGGGTGCTGGCGCCACAGGCGGAGGATTAGCCTAGTGAGCCACGGTGCTGGCCTTAATTTCTTATATATTCTTGATTTAAACTTTTATTTTCTAATTAAGGCTTAAAAGGATTACTCTGAAATATATTTATGGCTAAATGGATAGATGCTATTATTATTATTATTATTATTATTATTATTATTATTATTTAAAGAGTTACACAGAGAAAGAAGAGGCAGAGAGAGAGAGGTCTTTCATTCGCTGGTTCACTCCCCAAATGGCCACAAAGGCTGAGCTGGGCCAATCCGAAGCTAGGAGCCAGGAGCTTCTTCCAGGTCTCCCACATGGCTTCAGGGGCCAAAGAACTTGGGCCATCTTCCACTGCTTTTCTAGGCCATAGCAGAGAGCTGGATAGGAAGTGGAGCAGCTGGGACTCAAACCAGTGCCCATATGGAATGCTGGCACTGCAGGCAGCAGCTTTACCCACTACGCCACAGCACCGGCCCCGATAGATGCTTTTTAAAAGGCAGCGTATCTGTGTGGGCATTTGCTAGTGGTTAAGACACCAGGAGGACCTGTGTCCCGTTTTGAAGCACCGGGTCCAAGTCCCAGCTTCCTGCCAGTGCACAGCCTGCAAGGCAGTGGTGAAGGCTGTGGTGCTGGGGCTCCCGCCACCCGCATTGGAGACCTGGACTGCAGGTCCAGCACGGCGCTGACCATCACAACCATTTGGGGAGTGAGCTGGTAAATGGGAGCTCTCTGTCTCTATTTTTGAAAAAAGAAACACATATTTACTTGAAAGACAGAGCGAAATTTCTTCTATGCACTGGTTCACTCCCCAAATGGCCACACATCCAGGGTTGTGCCAGGTTGAAGCCAGGAGCTTCCTCCAGGTCTCCCACGTGGGTGCAGGGGCCCAAGCACGCGGGCCATCTTCCGCTGCTTTCCCAAGCACATTAACAGGGAGCTGGATCAGAAGTAGAACAGCCGGAACTCACACCAGCACCCACATGGGATGCCGGCGTCACAGGCAGCAGCTTGACCCACTATACCACAGTGCCAGCCCCTGCCTTTCAAAAAAATATGTGAAAACAAATGTCCTCCCTCCCTGCTCAGAGTGTCAGGCTGCTGTTGGACGCACGCAGCACTGGCGGGGGATGGCCTGAGCTGGTGGAGAGAACCTGCCTGGTCGGGCCGTGCCGGCTGTGGCAGGGACACACTAGGTGTCCTGGAGACAGCAGCACTCCCACCTGGTTCCTTCAGCACCCACACGTGTGCTCGTCAGCGGAGGAGGGAGAGAAGCAGGGCAGAGGGGTGCACAGTGGCCAAACCTGGGAGGAAGGGTGTGGGCGCCCCTCGCGTCAGTCATCGAGTGAGACCCCCACTGTCTTCTGTCCCGTGGACACTGCGCGGCGGCCCTGTGTCCTCCCTGTGGTCTCCTGGAGTAGCACGAGTGTAGCTCCTGACCCTGTGTGCAGGCGGGACACTCGGGTCTGCCTCGGGGTTTGAGTGGGATTGCCGACCACGCTGCGTGCTTGCTGTGTTGCAGGTGGCAGAGCGAGCGCTGTACTACTGGAACAACGAGTACATCATGAGCCTCATCAGTGACAACGCAGCCAAGATCCTGCCCATCATGTTCCCATCCTTGTACCGCAACTCCAAGACCCACTGGAACAAGTAAGAGCCAGCAGGTGTTGCATTTTGGATTAGAATTAAAATCTGAGTTTTAGCAGCTGAAAAATGAAAATGCACAGCTCTTTGTGAGCTTGTAGATTAAGTAGCAGTGTACATGGTATCCGTAGCCATTTTATTTTTCCTCCTTACCCCGAGCCTAACCAGTGTAGAGGTCCGTTGCCTGCACCTGCCTGCAGCAGTGTCTCCAAGGCCTTGTCCCCAGTTCCCTCCGCAGAGGCGACTGCAGAGCTCACGGGGGTCCTCCCAGTGGGAACACAGCGGCCACCCCATCCTCAGGGCAGTCCCTCCAGCCAAGCTGACGTAGGCCCAGGGGTCACTCCCTAGAGAATCGGAAAGGTGGACCTCACCTCTCCCCTTTGTCTGTACACTTCGTGAGTCAGTCCTTCCGCCGAGCAGTTCTCTTCTGAGATCTTACCAAGAAACCTAATAAGGGGCCATGCTGTGTTTTATACTGAATTTAATACTCGTGTTACTTACGTGAGTACAAGCATCAGCTCTTCTTTCCCTGCCTTTCATTTCTCTCCTTTGTGTACTACACTCAAGTAAGCGCTTAACGCACAAAGACCGTAGCTTGCTTACGTTACAGACGAGGAAAACAAACCCGAGAGGCACTGGGCAGCGCATCCTGCTGCCACCAGCAGGTCAGCGGCTCTGTCCTGGGCAGCCCTGCTCTCTGCCCAGTGAGGCCTCCTTCCAGAACTAAGCCCCCGGGCAGCCCGACAGCTGTTTCCCGTGTGGAGCCCTGGCACCCGGGGCCAGCCCCCGGCTGCGCCTGGCAGACTTGGTTGTCGTCCCTGTTCCGCTGGGACCGGCTGTCTGACCGAGGCGGAGCGTCCACTCCAGGTGTTTCTCAGTCACTCCTGCAAAGTGCACTGCTGCTCTGGGTAAGATCTGCCCTGTAGAAAGTGCTTCGCTTTGCAGCGACCTTCGCACAACAGCGAAGTGTAACGAGGCTGACGTAGACACAAGTCCCTGGCACACACAGGGCGCTGGGCCAGTGTTTGCCATCAGCTCTGTGGCTGCTGGGCTGGCCTGGGCACTGAGGATGCAACCACCGCCTTCGCCGTGGCAGCAACGGCGGTAGTCACGGCGATCAGGGCATCATTCCGACAACCCGCTTTCTTTTTTTAGTATTTATTTATTTATTTGAAAGGCAGAGTTACAGAAAGTGGGGGAGACATAGAGAGAGATTTTCCATTCACTGATGCATTGCTCAAATGGCCACAAAGGCTGGGGCTGGGCCAGGCTGAAGCCAGGAGCCGGGAGCTGCTTCCAGGTCTCCCACGTGGGAGCAGGGCCCCAAGCACTTGGGCCATCTTCTGCTGCTCTCCCAGGCCACAGCAGGGAGCTGGATCAGAAGTGGAGCAGTTGAGACTCCACCCTGTGTTCATATGCCACTCGGGTGACAGTTTTACCCACTGCACCATAGTGCCAGCCCTGAGAGCTAAGCTCTGATGAGGCCGTTTTATTGTCTTGTTATTTAGCGCTGTGGCGTAGTGGGTAAAGCTGCCACCTGCAGTGCTGGCATCCTGTATGGGCACCGGTTTGAGTCCCAGCTGCTCCAGTTCCAATCCAACTCTCTGCTTTGGCCTGGGAAAGCGGTGGAGGATGGCCCAAGTCCTTGGGCCCCTGCAGCCGCATGGGAGACTGAGAAGAGGCTCCTGGCTCCTGCCTTCAGATTGGCACAGCTCCAGCTGTTGTGGCCAATTGGGGAGTGAACCAATGGATGGAAGACCTCTCTCTCTCTCTGCCTCTTCTCTCTCTTTCAAATAAATCTTTTTTAAAAAATCATGTTATTTTCAATTGGCTGAAGCTGCACTTTGGCATTATTAAAATTTCTTTTTCTGTCTTCAGTAAGTTTGCCAGAAAGCCAACATTCATAGCAAATAAAGTGTTTGTCGCCACCCTCTGTATAATTTTATCCTGATTGTATTTGTTCGAGTGCCAGCATTCTGTATTCCGTCTCCAAGCAAGGGGGCTTCTGACTGCCATCCAGCTGGGACGGTGAACAGAGCGGCCTGGCTCACACAGGGCAGATAGGAGGGAGAGGCTTGGGCCCGTGTGGCTGTCACCAGGGAAGCAGAAACAAATGAGTGAGAGCCTGCAGAAGGCCAGCAGCCTGTGCACAGGGAACCAGCCAGGGAGCCGGGAGAGGGCGGGGCTCTGGCTGGGGAAGGAGGAAGAAGGTGGAGCACTCGAGTCTCACCGCGAGGTTTTCCCCGCAGGACAATACACGGCTTGATATACAACGCCCTGAAACTCTTCATGGAGATGAACCAAAAACTGTTTGACGACTGCACCCAGCAGTTTAAGGCAGAGAAGCTGAAGTAAGTTCCCCTCACAGGGTCCCTTGGTGCCAAATGACCTCATCCCATTCGGGCTTGAGTTGGCCCTCCTGAGAGGCAAAGCCCGCCTCCCTCATGTGGCCAGCGACGGGCGTGGCGCGCTAACCGGTTTCCGAGGAGCCGGTGATGAAGGCAGCTCTCCTTCCCTCCTGCTGCCGGCGCGGCTGTGCGCTTGCAGCTCAGCCTCGCGAGCTTTGACTTCTCCAGCGGACACGTAGAGGCTGCCACGTGCCCTGGTTTGAGTGACATCCTGAGCTCTAGGGGAGGGGCGAGCACCTGCCATTGAGGGGAGCTTCCCTGTGCACCGTAGTGGCCACACAGACGTGGGCACTTTCTGGACTCTGACCTGCCCTCCCCAAAGTCAGGGTCCTGCCCTGCCTCTGACCCAGGCACCATCTGGGTGATGAGGCGCTCTTGTCCCTTAGCTGGGCACGTCATCCTGGGGTTGGTTAGTGTTCCGGAGTCCCTCCTAAAGTCCCAGTGTGGACTATTGGCACATGTTGTTTTTTGCTTGTTTAAAACTGGCCAGGGGGCCGGCGCCGCGGCTCACTAGGCTAATCCTCTGCCTTGCGGCGCCGGCACACCAGGTTCTTCTGTCTGCTGGTTCACTTGCCAAGTGGCTGCCAACAGCTGGAGCTGGGGCTGGGCCAGGCTGAAGCCAGGAGCCAGGACTCCATCTGGGTCTCCTACACAGGTGGCAGGAACTCGATATTTGGGCCATCGTCCACACTGCTTCCCAGGCACATTAGCGGGGAACTGGATCCAAAGTGGAGTAGCTGGGGCCGAAGTGGCGCTCCAGTAGGGGTGTGGGCCCTGCAAGCATCAGCTCAGCCCACTGTGCCAGGACCCCTGCCCCAGGCCTCCTGTTTGTCCACAGCGCCGCTGGGGTGGGGAGGCCGGCACCTGGCCTTGCTTCCTGTGAGAATCCCCATTCTTGGGCAGGATAAATTTTTAGCAGTTTATTTTTGTTAAAATCTCTATTTCTGAATCTCGATTTGGTTCTTAATTTCATTCTTCCCGCCACTCGCGGGCCGCACGCATGGTTTGTGGAACAGGACCAGAAAGGGGCGGAGGCACACGGAGGCGGTGTTGCTGGGTGGTCCAAGGGTGCCGTCTGGAATGCAGCGCACTCTAACACAAGTGATGTTTTCCTGTTTTTCAGAGAGAAGCTAAAAATGAAAGAACGAGAAGAAGCATGGGTTAAAATAGAAAATCTAGCCAAAGCCAATCCCCAGGTACTGAAAAAGAGAGCAATATGAAATTGTATAGGGTGTGTTACTTGAATATTTTTATAAGATAGGAGTGTGGCTTAATCATGGGGGGAGGGAGACCAGTCCCACCCACGCTGTACGTGAAAATGTCTACAATAAAAAGTGGTGTTTGCCTTTGTAGCCTTCCGCTTGTACAAGTGCTTCTTTGGTCCCGCGGTGTTTCTGCCACAGAATGGACTGTGTTTTCCTCTGCTTTGTAACTGACGTGTGGGTCTTATGGATACGCTGTGGAGAAAGAAAACCAGGATGCAGGCTCTGTTTTAGACCAAGGTCGTAACTTGCTTGTGTTCTCAAACGCCGTTGATGCTGCAGGTGAAGTGGTCCCTTCTTATCCCCAGTAACTGTAAAAGGAAGGAAGTTGGATTTGAAGTCGTTGAAGTGCGGTTGATGTCTTTTCCCAATATTGAGTTTCCAGAGTTAACCGAATTCTGCCAGTGGTAGTGACGAATCCCTCTCCCCTCCCTCATGCCTGAGTGCGCCGTGCGAGGGACCAGCAGTTAAAGCCGAGTCCCGGGGTGTCTCCCAGTTGTGGGCTTTGGCCTGGAGGATTAGGGCACCGCCGGTGAGGGTGCCCTCCTGCCCTGCGTGCCTGTGTGATGGGAACAGCGCCTCGTGCTGAAAGCCGCTGTCTGACTCTGGCCGTGCTACGCGTGCTCCGGCTTCTTCCACTGCCCAGGAGAGGCGATAACTGCTACACGATGCATTTCCCTTGGCGAGAGGTGTGCGTACATCATTAGTATCCAAGTTGGTATTTCTTAATTCTCTGACATTTATTGAAAAACGAAATGTGGAGATACAGTTAAAAGTCTATGTTTCACCTACATAATGACACATTGGTCTGTATTCCCTTGGAGGAAACTCTAACCGTGGCAGAATCGAACGGCATTCTTAACCGATGTCCTTGAACCCACCAGCCTGCCCTCACCCCTCTCTCCCTGCTGTCACGTGAGCATGGCATTTCAAGGTGACCCTGTGAAACGGCAGCACTGACTGAGGTGGATAGCTACACGCCTCCTGCAGTGGTACCTCCGTCAGCGTTCACATGTCGTAGACCATAAACCTGGGGCGGTTCTAGGGCTTCAGCCCCCAGGGACCCTGCTCTGGGCTGAGGGCCCCGGGCCAGGGGTGCAGGCAGGTGTGCCTGAGGGTTGTCGAGGAGCCTGGCACACACAGCTGACATCAGCAGCCTGGAAAAACGTGGGCTACGTGCAAATCAGAGGTTCTGATTCTTTTGGTTTTTAAGGATTGGTTGGTTGATTTGAAAGGCGCAGTCACAGGGAGAGAGAGAGTGAGCCCTTCCATGGCTGGTTCACTTCCCAAATGGCTACAGTGGCCGGGGCTGGCCCAGGCTGAAGCGGGAGCCTGGAAATCCACTGTGGTGTCGTCCCACCTGGTGGCAGGAGCCCAAGGCCATCTGCTGCTGCTCTCCCAGGTGGGTTAGCAGGGAGCAGCCAGGACTCGAACCTGTGCTCGTGTGGGATGCCACGGCCCCACGCCGCCGGCCCCACAGCGTCTGGTCTCATGCACCTTACCTAGAGTGGAGAAGTAACCTCTTGAGTGCCGGCGAGCTGGCTGGCTGTCCTGCGGCGCTGTGACCGGTGGCCCCCTCTTCGCCCTTTATCTGAGCTTTCTCAAGTAACTTTCTGTGCTGCTCTTGGTTGCTGTCTCTAGCGCTGTCTGTGATGGTGGCGCAAGCGCGGCGGACCTCCTGTAACGCTGTCGCCCGTCCTCTCTGCGGAATCGGCCGTGACTCGGGCCCTGCGCGCGTCTCCTGCGGAGGATGCCTTGCAGTGGACGCCTCAGAGCCCCGCGCTTGCCCCCCTTTCTCTCGAGGGGGTCCTTCCTAAATTCTGCTCACCGCTTGCCTTTGCAGCAGCAAGTAGCCCGCTGGTGGGCGACACCGTCCGTTTCCTCTGCAGGCTGCCGTGGCTCGCTTTTCTGTCTGAAATTGGCCTTGACGGCCTTGACATGGACTCCCAGGAGGCCCCTCTGTCCCCCGTCTGCCCTTGGCCGTGCAGGCAGGCTGGGGGGCATCGGGGCAGGCCGTGGAGCCGTGGGCATTCTGTCTCGCTTGTCCCAGTTGTGGTGACAGCACCAGGGCTTTCTGACGTCACGCACAGCGTGAGCCCACGCAGTCAGGAGGCCGCTTGCTTCCCTCTGACGTGAACCCAGGCGCCCTGCGGCTCAGGGCCTCTGTCCCCTCGCGATGACGAGCCCAGGGCCTAGGGTCCGGCTGGGCTTCCCGGGCAAGGGCGCCCTCTTCGTCTTTGTTGCTGGCGAGAGCCCTTCCCTTCCAGTGCCTGCCGAGTGGCGTTTTTTAGTAGCAGCCATGTTTGAGTGCCGCGAGGGCCAGGAGGACCGGGAGTCCTGTGCAAGGCACTGTTTTGTTCTTGGAGTGGCCGAAAGTGGAAATGTGAGTTTGAAAGCCTCCGGCTCAGCCTCGCGATGCTGCCGTGCGTACGTTTCGTGTCTTCCCGCCCAGCCGTGAGCCCCTCAGGGATGGCCGCCGTGACATGGAAATTTCCAGGGATGCAGTACTGAGAAGGAGACACAGGGCCCCTCCCCCACGGCCCCACCTCAAGGAGCTCACGGCCCGTGAGGGGAGCCAGGTGGGAGCAGAAAACGGTTCAGTGCCAGAGAGGGGCATGGCTCACGTCTTTAAAGGGAGACGCGCCAAGAACCTGGGCACGGCTCAGGCATGGCTGCAGGTGCCCAGGGCACCGGGCCTCGGGGTCTCGGCACTGCAGGGCAGGTAGTGGGTGGGCACGGAGAGCAGCGAGGAAGCCGCAGGCGCCCTCCCCGTGGGGTGTTGGTCACGGGGCGGGCCGGCAGTCTGTGCTGGGGTGAAGGTGCGGAGGAAGCTCTCCTCCCAAGACCATAAGCAGGTGCCGAAGCGGCGCAAAAGCGAAGCTGTGGAAGCGGCAGGGACGGGGTGCTGGAGGCCGGGCTGGGCACCACGGGGTGGGCACCCACTGGTGTTGGAGGCAGGCAGTGGCAGATGTGGCTCCAGCCAGTGAGCAGGTGGCTGCTGGAGCACAGATCGGCACGCAGGCCCCAGCCGGAGAGACGGCCCAGGAGGCTTGGAAGCCCGTCGTGAACCAGGAGGGCCTGAGGGCTGGGTGTGAGGAAACGGGTGGAAGGGGCAGGCAGAGGAAAGAGGAGAGAAATGGGACAGGCTGGGCCCGGAGCCGCAGGGCAGATGTCTGTCACCACATAGAGACCCAGTGAGAAAAAGGACAAAGTGGCTGAGCAGGGGGTTATGACGAGCTGGTGCCAGCATCTCCCCAGGGCAGGGAGAGCTCAGCCCGGCCCATGTGGAGCCGAGTAACCAGAGGAACAGGGGATGGAGCTGGAGGGACTCGCCCGCTGAGGCTGACGGACCGGGGCTGGGGTGCACCTGTTGGGCAGAGGGTAGAGGGCAGCCTGGGCGTCAGTCCCAGCGTCCACTCTCGCTGTGAGACCCTGAGCAAGGTCTGCATGCTTCAGTCACGGGACAGCAGCCATGCACACTGCCCCCCCAGACACAGGCACCTCCTCTCCCGGCCTCCCCTCGCAGGGAAGGCAGGCAGTAAACTGGCCAGCACCCCAGCTCGTGAGCTTGTTCTGCCGTCCCACAGCCCTTGGAGGCCATCTGAGCAGGCACTGGCTGGTGGTGGCAGTGCAGGGACAGTGGAGAAGCCCCAGGCCAGCCACGCAGAGAATGAGCGAAGGAGTGGTGGGAGTAGGAAGCCGGGCCTAGGAGGAGAGACAGGCTAGCAAGCAGGGCCCTGGTTCTGTGCTGGGAAGGGCGGAGACAGGACAGTGCAGAGAAGAGGAGAGGAAGGGTTGAGCATCTCAGGGTCAGTGGGCAGAGGGTGGGGCTTGGCGGAGCCATGGCGGTAAAACAGCCCCATGACCAAAGCCAGGGTGTGGGCTGTCGGGCTCCTGAGGACCCTGAGGGGGAGGGTGTGGAAGTGACCTCGGTGCCCCACAGCGCAACCCCTGACCACAGGACAATGAATGGCTTCAGGTTTTCAGAAGAGGAGGGCGCAGGGGCCGCAGCTGTCGGCAAGTTTGTCTCCCTCCAGGGGGTCTTGCCAAAGAGGGCCCCCGCCCTGGGAGGTAGGCAGAGAGGGGCGAGACCCCCACCCCGCCAGGATGAGAGACCTGGAGTTCCGAAGCCAGGGCCTAACGCAGAGTGCCTCCCCACTTTGCATTGCAGTACTCACTGTGTAGTCACGCGAGCACCGTGAGCATGCCGCTTGCCATGGAGACAGACGGGCCCTTGTTTGAAGATGTGCAGATGCTGAGAAAGACCGTTTCCGACGAGGCGCGGCAGGTAAAGGTGCCTGGCTGAACGCGCGCATTGCTTAGCAGGTGCTGTGGTGCGCAAGGGTGCTTTCTTTCGAAAGCTCATGGAAAATGGGACTGCTGCGGAACACTTGTGAAATCCGTGGTGTGAGCTCATGATCCACGTCTTCCGTAAACTTTGGGGAAGAGCCCTGTGTATCAGTGCCTTGCTAGTCTTGTAGGAAACACTCCACCCATCGTTCTCGGTGATCACCTGACTGGGAGCACCTTTTAAGGATTGTGTCTGTGCCTGAGACCGGCTTCTTCGTTTACTTAAACAGGAGTAATCCCAACACTTCATGTCTAGGTGTTCGCCTGAGCAAGGTCAGGCGCTTGGCAGTACCGTCTCAGCGAGCTCTGCCCGCACATCCCCTGCCTCCCGCCCCAAACACTCCCTTCAGCAGCCCTGACACAGGGCGGACCCCCTCCTACACCTGCCGCGGTCACTGTTTCCCTGGCCGCGGACAAGAAACACTCAGCTCTCTGCTGGTCCAGAGAGAGCCTCTTACCAGATCGGCACTATGTGCAGTTAGGTGTCACCAAGGGCGGCTTGCTGAGCCCGTGGCAGGGTCTCTGGAGCAGTAGGGGCTGTTTCCTGAGCAGCCCCCCCCTCACTGTTTCAAATACACGCAAGTGGATGCCAGCCTCTGGGGTCGGGGGGGACCTTGGGCTTTCCCACCCTGAAACTTGAACCTCCTTCAGCCAGGGCAAGAATTTCTGAAAATACCCAGCACTGACGTTCTGAGCTGTGGAGGACAGGAGTGGCGACAGTCCTCCCATAACTGTGTGCCCTGTGCTGCACACACACGGTCTATGGTCTATGAATGCCCGTGTCCTGTGGAGCTCAATGAAAGATTTTTTTTTTTTTTTGGGTAATCTATGTGAGTACTTTTAAAAGTTCATGCAAAGTGGAATTAAAAGATGTTTATTTTGGTGGAAAAAGATTCTTGAAATTCATGCACCCAGGAGCTCTTCAGAAGTTTCATAGAAAATGCATATTATGAGAAACTGTGCATGGATTTAAAAAACATTTTCTGCACCAAAGTAAGCTTATCTTAATTGCATTTTTCCATGAATTTGCTGAGTACCCGCATGGTTGCATTTGATTCAAGTAAGCTGTGTCTCCCTCGTTAAGGCAAGAGGAGGCATTACCAAAGGCACACAGTGTGGACAGCCCCAGCCCTCACAGTGGAGCAGGTCCCAGTCAGCGTAAACGTGCGCGTGGGAGCCTGAAGACAGGCCATGTGTCATTTTTACTGACACACCTTGAAGTGCTCATGGTTTGGCTGTATGGGGTTAGGTAAGGCGTGTCACTAAAACTGATGCCACCATTTCTCTCTGCTTTTCTAACGTGACTACTAGAGGGTCTGGAACTCTGCCTGTGTGGCTGCCCTTGTGTGTTGTGGGACAGCCTGGCCGAGGCGCTGTCCGCACAGCACCACTGTGCGAGGAGAAGGCTCCAGGCCCCGAGCACCTGCATTGCGTGTTGATCTGCCTGCCTCTGGCAGGAGGCCCTCGTCTTGGGCGAGCAGGTCGGCATGAGAAGCAGGTGCAGGAACAGTCCTCGGAGGTGGGAAACAGAAAGGCCCACAGCACCCGGAACCGCTCGTTTATGGCAAGCAGGTTCATCTCCTGTGTTCCTCACCGCTGCTGTTCCCCGGCCCAGTAGGCGTCACCGCAGGCAGGAGAGTCCACACAGCGCTCTGCTGCTTGTGGGAGTGGTCACTTTCCTCACTGCTGTTTCGACGGGAAAGGAGTAGAAGGTTGTCTTTCTGAGGACCACGAAGGCTTCCAGTTGGCTGAAGACACGCGTGAGGCCTCATTAGCTACAGACAGGGTGCGCCAGAATCTCGGTCCTGCAGGGGGAGCTCACCACTGCGCCTCGCACGCAGCTGACGGCGTACAAGCCAGTTGTCACACAGTAACTTCTAAGACTGGGGCAGAATTCTGACTTGGGTCAGAATTACAGTGAGGAAAAGAATTAACTGTGTTCTAACTATAAGGAACCTGGAAGTCACAGACATGCTTAGGACTTGGGCTCTGTGCTGTCGGCAGCCGGGAACTTTCCCACAAACCAAAGCACCATTCTCATCCGGAGCAGCACGGTCGCCGGGAGTCGGCCCCGGTGGCGCACCGTGCGGTGAGCAGTGGGGCTGCTGCGGGGCTCCGAGGGGGCTCCCGGCAGCGAGGCCCAGGAGGCACATCGGCTTCCTTGTTTGTTTTCATGGCTCTGGAAGTCAGGTTGCGTGACTGGATCTTCTCTGTAATCGGTGCTCCCACAAGACTTGCTCTCCCGCTTCCTGGATACCACTGGGACGCAGCTCTCGCACGTTAACGTAGTCTCAGATTCCCAGCAGGCCTCTTACTAAGTCAACAAGCAGATTCTAAAATTGACACAGAAATGCAGAAGGGCCTAGAACGGCCAAATCGACTCAGAAAAAGGACTGAACTGGAAGACCACAACACGACCTGACCTCAGAGCTCACCGCGGGTTTCTGTGGCTCGCCTGAACTTCAGGGAGTCAGCCAAGTTCAGCTGCATCTCGAGCAAGCCACAGGAATACATTTCTGCAGTGCCATCTCCTAGAATTCATATTTGAAATGATAGGCTCTTCCTTATATCAAGGGACTCGGAGGGGCTGGCATCGTGGCTTAGTGGGTAAAGCCACTGCCTGCAACGCTCACATCCCCTGTGGGTGCCGGTTCAAGAGCCAACTGCTCCGATTCTGATCCAGCCCCCTGCTTTTGTGCCTGGGAAAGCAGTGGAAGATGTCCCAAGTGCTTGGGCCCTGTACCCGTGTGGAAGACCTGGAAAAAGCTCCTGCCTCCCGCCTGGCCCAACCCTGGTCTCTGCGGCCATGTGGGAGGTGAACCAGCAGATGGAAGATCTCTCTCTCTCTCTCTCTCTCTCTCTCTCTCTCTCTCTCTTTCCTCCTCTCCGTAACTCTGTCTTTCAAATAAATAAGTCTTTTTTAAAAAAGTGCTTAGTCATTTTCCTGAAATTCTGAAAATCACTGCTGTTAAAGCAAAGGAGACGCACGATGCAGGAAAACGTGTGCACAACTTTGTGATCAGAGCGACACTCGATGTTTTAGCTTAAAATGAGGCTTTTTGGTTTCCATGTTTGGTCAGTTGACTGCTTCCAGCACCCCTTTAATTTTACTTCAGCAGCTTTACTTTTCCAAAACGATTCCACATTCCTTTAACGTGGTTGGAAGCCTGGGTGAGGACGGGTGTGGGGTGAGCGGGGTGTTTCAGGAGGGTGGGTGGGGACACTGTGGTGGGGTGCCCCTGGGGGTTGAAGCCTCCCACGCACGCTCTGGACCTCCTGGGAGGGCGCGGCTGACAGAGACCTTTAAAATGTTTGCAATTCTGCTTTTCAGCAGCTGGTCGGGAGAAAGGCAGTGTCGAGCACGCAAGTAAGGAAGGTGTAGGACCCGGCAGGTGGGCAGTGCAGGTACTGGCGATTCCGTACGTAGAGCATATGTAAGGCTGTGTGTCTGGGGCAGGAGCCGGCGCGGTCGCCCGTGCACACCGAGTTCTTCCTTCCACGCCACGCCCGCTCGTGATGGTGCGGATGCAGGCAGAAGCTTCTTGCCCCTCAGGACATTTCCATCCGTTCTGCCCCGAACTAAGCAGTGACGTTTGAACACGCACCTCTGCGGGAGAGCGAAAAGCTGCCCCATCACGTGCGCCAGCCTCGGGTGCTCTCGCCCACCCACTCACTGCTGGTGGGGCTGCAGGGGCGCCCGCTGGCCCCCCGCCCCGTGCCAGCCGCCAGGTGCGGCCGCCTGCATGGCCCTCGCTCTTGGCTGCCGCCTGCCTGTTTTCCTCGTTGCCCCCTTGCGGTTTGTAAGGTGACTCCGCGTCACACTCCAGCCTGAGTGGCGAGGCCGTGCGTGTCCACTGCTTCCCGCGCTGCCAGAACCCCCCCACGGTGTCTCTCGGCTCACCCGCTGCCCGTCTCTGTAACCGTGTCCTCTTGGGAGAGCCTGTTGCAGCCCTAACTGCAGGTTTCCATGTGCGTAAGGATCTCGGTGTAGTTTGGTTTCTCTTTGCTTTGTTAAACAGATCAAACTAGAATGGCGTAAGATGCAGGCTGGGATTTCGCCCGTGAGTTTCTCCGGCTGGAGGCGAACCCCAGTCTGCCTTCGCCATGGCTGAATGCCAGACTCATTTCCAGAAATACTCCTGGGACGACGGCACACAAAGCTCTTTTTGATCCCTATCACGTTAGCTGTTTTCTGAATAAGCCGACCTTACAGAAACGTGAAGTTTCATGTTATGGCTGCCGCAGGTCTCCAGGCTTGGCACGACAGCCAGGAGACGCGTCTTCCAGGCGCTGTTCCAAAGCCAGACCCCCGGGCACCAGGAGCTCCCCAGCTTCTGCCCCTCTTGCTGACCAGTGAGTGAGAACAGTCTCTTCCGGTAGACGTCCGTGAGAGCGTTTCCGGAGACGCTGACAGGAGGAACGTGGACCCCAAGGGGCGCCCCGCATTGGAGCGGTCCAGGCGGCGCCCTGCCTGAGTGCGGTGTGGAGCAGGGGCTGAGCTGGAACCCTGAGCTGTGGAAGGGGCAGCCTCTGCTTCCCGGCGAGGGGACGGCCCCGCGCGGCGCCTGGCTCCTGCCATCAGTCATCCAGACCCTCTTGCCAGAATGGCATTCACTTATTTTTTTTTTTTAAGTAAAACCAGAATTTTCAAAACAAGAACAAGGAGTCTTGTTTCCCAGCCCTGATTCGCGGAGTTTGTGTTGCGAGCAGTCGCGGACGGCTTCTCCATGTGCTAGGGATTTGCCCTGTTAGCCACCGCCTCCCCCGTGTGTGTGGCAGCAGTGTTGGGTCTCCTGCTTTAAATCCAGTCTCAACGTTTTCCCTCATTCCTTCCATTTGCCCCAAAGGAATGTCTCTTGTGAAATGCTCCTCTAACGCATGGGCCGTAGAACGGCTCTGGTGACATGTTGGGAAGCAGGAGGGCACTGTGTCTGGGATTCACAACTGGCGAGTCCTGTGCAGCCGAGGTGCCCGCGTGGCACACCCGGCCCTCCCACGGCCCCAGAGGAGGTGCGGCCAGCCCGGGAGGGGTGCTCGCTCGCGCCTCGCCCTCAGCCGGCGTGGTCTGTAGCCAACCGCACTGCCTTTTTCATTCCAGGCACAGAAAGACCCGAAGAAGGAGCGTCCTCTTGCGCGTCGCAAGTCCGAGCTGCCTCAGGACCCCCACACCAAGAAAGCCTTGGAAGCTCACTGCAGAGCCGACGAGCTGGTCCCCCAGGACGGGCGCTAGCTCCCTGGCCCCGCGGCACGGCCGCCCCGCCGCTGCCGGCCCGGAGCCTGTAGAAGATAACTCCCTTCTGTGTGCCATACCAATCAGTTACACTCAAACCCCACGCTTTCTCCGACCCAGTCCGTAGCACGTGTCCACCTCAGCTCCAGATGAGGGGTTCAAACAATGGTGGCTTCTCAGAGCCCGCGGGCAGAGCCGAGGGCTGGTGGCCATGTCCCCACCCCGGCAGAGCCCCCGGGGCTCCGTATCCCGAAAGCAGAGCTGTAGGGAAGCACCCTGGGCACCCTCCTCACGCTCAGCCCTGGCGGAAGTTGGGAGCCTTCCAAACAGGCGGTTCTGGGGAAACACCGATGCTCTTCCAATCCGAGGGACGCTTTAAGGGTATTGCCTGCTCTTTGAAAGACTTCACGGCCTTTGGAATGGTTTCTGCGTGATTGTGGTGAGAGCGGTTTTTCGTGTGTTTGTGGTTTCAGTCTCGCGGAGACAGCCCTTGCTCTCGCGTTCTGACGTGGCCGTCCTCAGCCACTGGGCCCAGCCGGGGTGTTCACTGGATTCACACGTGCAGCCCGTGTCCTGCTTCTCTGTGTACACCTGAAGCCATATCTTCAAGCCTGTGGTACAGCACCAGGGTTCCAGGAGTAAGCTGTGGGAGAGAGCTTGCTCTGTCTACCTGGGATGCAGGTGGAACGTTTAAATTATGTGTTCCTATTTCGTATTTGCAGAATTATCTTCATCAGCTCGTACACTGTTGCCCCTCATCAAGGCTCTTGAGTGAATGAAGTGGCAGTCCCTACGGCCTGCACGTCGTGTAGAAAGTTAGACGGTCTGGGGCTAAGCCAGCTCCTGGGCTGACGCAGGCTGCCGCTGCCTGCGGGCACAGTCACGGGGACACGCGGCGCCGGGCACACCAGGGCCCCTTGCAGTTCTGTGGTTCTGAGAGTGAGGAAGCCGTCCCCAAGGCCTGGTGAAGAGGGCAGTGTCGGAGCCGTCCCCGGTCTCCACGCCTGGGTGTGTCCCGGGCTCCCCGGCACGCCCGGTGCCTCGGCTGGAAATGGGGCAGCTTCGTCTGTCCTTCCTTGCTCTCAGGGTGGCCGCTGTTTGGACGGACTCCTGCCGCCCGAAAGCTGCTGGAGGAGTGTGCTAGTGACGCTAGGTCGTTCTGTCTCTGGCGTGAGATTGTGTAACTCAGTGGTCAGTGTCCTGATGCGTGCAAGAGATGAAATGAGGCTTCTTTCAGGGTCTGGTGTTTAGACCGAGGTCTCTGGTGTCCGCTGAATGACAGCTGTGCAGGCTGTGCAGCTGTGCAGCCACAGCGCGGGGCCAGCTGCCCGTGGCTTCCCCTTCCCCAAGCTGTGTGTCGGGGGGGGAGCCCCTGCCCAGAGGGGACTGCCCGTGTTCCCGAGCAGGTGCAGGAATGACACCTGAGGCGGCCCCAGCTGGGAGTGGCCACTCAGCTCCGAGGGACTTGCTAAGTATCTGTCCGCTCCACCATTATAAAATCTACCCTTTACAAAAACCAACAAGTTTAGATGCCTTCTCCTCTTGAGGGAAAAAGGGTGCTTTTTACTGTACAAAGCGTATTTTGATAAACCATTGTTTGAACTGCCGTCCGTAGCTGATAGCTGCTCCGATGCCCTTGACCCTGGGTGCTGGGGGTGTCGCTGGGACAGAGTTCCGGGAAGACGTCCTTCTCGCCCCAGGGGAAAAGCAGAGCACCTGTGGCCGGGCGCCTGTGTGAGGCTCAACCCGTGAGAACACCTTTCTGTCCAGGTGTTATTTCCGCTCCTCACTGAAAACAAAGGTTCACCAGAAAGGGAGGGGGGAGTTTTGAGAGCTGATTTTCTCAGAGGAGCGCGCGCTCCGGTGGCCTGGTAGAGTTCCCCTAGAGGGCTCGGTCCCCGCGCTCCGTCATCGGCGTGCCCGGCGCGAGCTGGTGACTGTTTTCATCAAGTTCTGCATTCGGGCATCTTCGCTCTTCCCAAAATGCATCTGTGCATCAGAAATGTCACTATTCCGAGTGTCTTTTTAGTGTGGCTAGTATGGCTTCCTTTTAATATTGTACATACATTGTATCTTTGTTTTATGGTAATAAGTAATAAAAATGTAGACTTCATATTTTGTACAAAATGTCCTATGTACAGAATAAAAAAGTTCATAGAAACAGCAAAAATAGGTAAGTGGCACAATTATTTTTCTTTAGAAAATAGCTAACTTTATGCCCTAGTGAAATGCTAATTAAGTACCTACGTATTTTTTAACATTTTGTAATTCAAAGCTTTTTGTTTTGACATTGTTTATGAAGAGAAGCTTCATACACTCGCCATTTAATATGCTCTTTTATCGAATTTTAAAAAACTAAAAAATGGTGTATGATATGGACTAAATAAAAAACATGTGACTTTCACTGCTCATCAGGACGCTAAATGCAGCCACGGTGTCGGGCACGCCGCCGCCGACGTGGTGGGTGCTGGCTCGGCAGGGCCAGGGCCGCCGGCCTCCCAAGCTGCTGGGACACCTTGATGCAGGCGGCAGAGTGGCTTTGTGTAGACGCCTCGTCTTCCGCGGAGGACAGTGTGAATCGACGTGATTTTATAGAAATCAAACTACTGGAGCCCCAAGTACATTTTTCAGAAAATTCTTGCAGAGAAACCCAAGTCTTGAAAACAGGGTGGAAGGGCTGAGGATGGGAGTGTGGGGTCCTCTTAACCCAGCCCCTCCCTCACTGCCGCCGCCTTTCCTGTAGCGCCCTCGAGCGGCCACCTGTGCTCCCCCGTGCACCCCGTCCTCCCCCGCCCACCCCTGCCCTCACCTGTGCTCCCCCGTGCACCCCTGTCCTCCACCCACCCCGGCCCTCACCTGTGCTCCCCCGTGCACCCCGTCCTCCCCTGTGCACCTCCGTCCTCCCCTGTCCTCACCTGTGCTCCCCCGTGCACCCCTGTCCTTCTCTGCCCACCCCGGCCTCCCCTGTGCACCTCCGTCCTCCCCTGTCCTCCCCTCTGCACCTCCATGCACCCCGTTCTCTCCGATGCTCACCCAGGAGCGCTAGGCGTCAGCAGGCCTGGGAGCCTGGACGACTGGCCCCTCGGTGTCCTCGCGGGCCTGTGGCCTGTGCCTCCCTGGCCAGGGACAGAAGCTCCCAAGTCGCGCCGGGAGAGCGCGGGCGCCTGCTGGCGCTCCTGGGGTGCCCGAGACGCTGCCCGCAGCAGGCGCCCTCCGGAGACTGCGGGTCGCGGAGTCGCGTTCGCCGCTGCGTTCCCAGCCTCCCTGTGAGCCCGGAGGAGACGCGGGCTCGCCTGGGCTCGCTAAGCAGGGCCGGGCCGCAGTCTTGGATCCAGCGCGAGCCGGGGCCGCTGCGGGGTGGCCGAGCCTGGGAAAGCGGGCGCGCATCAGCCGGGTCTCCCGAGGAGAAGCCGCGCTTCCGGTCACCACTCCACGCCGTCGGGGCTGGGAGGCCCCCGGGCCGCGGCCGAGCGCAGCGGCAAAGTCCGGAGGCCGCGGCAAGTCCACGGCCATGCGCGCAGCCCGGGCCAGCCACGCCAGGCGAGAGACGGTGGAGCTGGCTCCCGGGAATCCGATTCGGTTGAAGGAGTCTGTGTTTGGGACCACAGGACCCCCGGCCAAGTCCGCTTCGGACTTAGGCGAGCGGCGCCCGGCCGGCGGCTCCCGCACACTGCGGTTCCTGAGTCTGTGCGTCGGTCTGGGTCGCGCACGGCAATGTTTTCACTTGGTCTCTCTCGGACAGAGAAAACGGTTACGGGGAAAAGGCCAGGCCGGGCGCTGTGGCACGGCTCCTGGGAGGCCCGCGGCGCCTGTTAGGGTGTGGGTTCGCGTCCCAGCTGCTCCTTGTCCGATCCAGCTGCCTGCTGATGCCCCTGCCCCCGACATGCAAGACATGGACGGGGCCCCGGCTCCTGACTTGTGGCTGTTTTGGATATTTGGGGAGTAATCAAGCAGATGGGAGATCGCAGTCAGTCTCTCCCTCCCTCCCTCTCCCTCCCTTTCCATTCCTCTCCCCCTCTCCCTCTCCCCTCCCCCTCACCCCCTTCAATTACATGAAAATAAATGAACACCCTTTTAAAGCCACATTTCGTATTATGTTTGGAAAAGCCCTTTGGACCGAGCGCACTGTGAGGGCTCTGAGAACCGCCGGCACCTGCAGCCGCAGCTTCCTGTGTGGCGGTGCCCACCGTGCGGCGGCGGCCCCACAGCACAGTGCCTGCGACTGAGTCCGCCTCTGCCTCCGACCCAGCGTCCTGCTAAGGCCACCCTGGGAGGCAGCAGCTGCCACCCACAGGGGAGTCCTGGGTGGGGCTCCTGGCTGCTTCAGGCACTTAGGGAGTGAACCGGCACAGGGAAGATCGCCTGCTCGCTCACTCTCACTTTCCCCTCCCTCTCCCTGTTCCTCTCCATCTAAAATTAGCACTAATTTTTCTAATGAAACATTATCATTTAATCTGTTATTAACATGATTTTTCTTATGTACTTTTTTAGATTTATTTACTTGAAAGGCAGAGTTACAGAGAAGCAGAGGCGGGGGGAGGGGTCTTCCATCCGCTGGCTCACCCCCAAGAGGGCACAACGGCACTGCTGGAGACGGCCGCTCCACTTCCCATCCAGCTCCCGGGCAGTGCACCTGGGAAAGCAGCGGAAGATGGCCCAAGTGGTTGGGCCCCTGCACCCACGTGGGGGACCCGGCTGAAGCTCCTGGCTCCTGGCTTCAGTCTGGCCCAGCCCTGGCCATTGTGGCCAACTGGGGAAAGACCCAGCAGATTGAAGACTTCTCTGCCTCTGCCTCTGGCTTTCTGCCTTTAAAAAAATAAATCGTCTTTTTAAAAAGTATTTTGAAAAAGGAAAGCGTGACTGGAATGACGACGGTGGAGACAGCAGCCGTGGGGCTGCAGTGACAGGCATGGGCCACCCTCCAGGCGGACGGAGCCTGCTCGCGGCCCAGCTCGGCTTCCTTCTCCGTCCCAGGGGCTAGCACCGGGACAGCTGGCCACTGGAGCCACATCCCGGACTCAGCCTCGACTTCCCTGCACACGACGCCGAAGTCCTGGAGATTCCACCGCCGTCTGGAAGCTGTTGTGACAACTTCCCAGAACGTGTGAACGGTCACCGCGTCACCTTCTTGCCTAAAACCTTCACAGGAAGGCGGGGACCCACGCCAGCCTGCGAGAGTCCGGCTGAGCTGACCTCTGCAGCGTGGCCGTCGCCAGCTTCTGTTTCTTGCCCACCCGAAGCGGGTGGCTGACTCCGCTTTTTTGTCCCCGCACGCCGGGGTGCCATTGCTGAGCACCCCTGTTGAAAAGAGAGAGCTCCCCGGGGGCTCTCGGCACAGCCCATTCTCTTCGGACCCGACACCTGTGGAATTCTTCCTTTAGTACCCCCACCTCCGGACAGGGACCTCGTCTGCTCCATCGCCTTGTGCCCAGCCCCAGCCCCGGCACCGACAGGACGCTCTGCGCACTTGTTCAAGTGGGTGCAGGGGCCGGAGGAGGCTGGGCCTTGGAGAGGGGACCGTCCGCTCATTCCGACGTTTGTGAATTTGCCAGCGGTGACGGTGACACACAGTGCAGCCGTCTCTGTTGTCCCGTAACAGACCTTTCCCAGGCCAGCCTGCGTCAGCCCGCTGTCATCACCGTGACACATCTGAGAGAAGCTGTCTCAGGCAGAACAGGTGCAGAGGGGGCAAGTGACAAGCCAGGAAGCACAGCTGCCTCCCAGTCTCCACAGTCTCTCCCCAGTCACAGGCTCCACCCCACAACCTCATCCAATCCCCTCCAGACACCACAGTCTTCATCCATTAACCCCTAAGAACCCATCGGGGCTGGCACTGTGGCACTGTGGGTTAAAGCCCCGTATGGGCACTGGTTCAAGTCCCGGCTGCTCCTCTTCCAATCCAGCTCTCTGTTGTGGCCCGGGAAAGCAGTAGAAGATGGCCCAAGTCTTGGGCCCCTGCACCCACACGGGAGACCCAGAAGAAGCTCCTGGCTTCAGATCGGCCCAGCTCTGGCTCTGCCTGGTGAGGGACGAGGATGTCCCCAGCAAAGGGCCCTGGCTGAAGCCGCATGGACGAGGGACGCTGGAAGGGGGCTGTGCGGCGGGTTAGGCTGCTGCCTGTAACACCTGCATCCCACATCCGGCCACCGCTGAAGAACTCGAGATTCTCTCTCTCACTCCCTGTCTCCCTTGCCCCATCACTCTGCCTTCCAAGTAAATAAATAAATTTTCCTTTAAAGCAGCAGCTATGCTGGAGCCAGGCTGCTATCAGAGTAGCAGAGAAAGTGGCCAAAAGGGACCGGCGCTGTGGCATAGCAGGTAAAGCCGCCCCCTGCAGTGCCAGCATCTCATATGGGCGCCGGTTCAAGTCCTGGCAGCTCCTCTTCCAGTCCAGCTCTCTGCTATGGCCTGGGAGAGCAGTAGAAGATGGCCCAAGTCCTTGGGCCCCTGCACCCACTGGAGGAAGCTCCTGGCTCCTGGCTTTGGATAAGTGCATCTCAGGCCATTACAGCCATCTGGGGAGTGAACCAGCGGGTGGAAGACCTCCCCCTCCCCCTCCCAGTAAATAACTCTTTTAAAAAAAGAAAGTGGCCAATAGACGGAGCTGAGGCCTGAGCAAGGGCCAGGCCAACGCGGCAGCCATCTGACCCCAGAGAGGAGCTGGAGCTTTAGTCTGTGGGCAACAGGAGGCTGTTCTGGAAGTCTGTGCACTCGGCACCGCAGTGAAGACACCACGTGCCGTGGTGCAGCAGGTTTAGCCGCCACCTGCAGCAGCAGCATCCCATATGGGCACTGGTCCGAGTCCCGGCTGCTCCACTTCCTATCCAGCGCCCTGCTAATTAATGCACCTGGGAAAGCAGGGGAAGATGGCCCAAGTGTTTGGGCCCCCTGCACCCACATGGGAGACCCAGAGGAAGCTCCTGGCTCCTGGCTCCAGATCAGCTCAGCTCCGGCCATTGTGGCCATTTGGAGAGTGAACCAGCAGAAGGAAGATCTCTCTCTCCCTCTCCCTTTTTCTCTAACTCTACCTTTCAAATAAATAAATAAAAACTTTTTTTTTTTTTGACAGGCAAAGTGCACAGTGAGAGAGAGACAGAGAGAAAGGTCTTCCTTTTCTGCTGGTTCACCCCTCAATGGCCGCTGCGGCCAGCGCACCGCGCTGATCTGAAGGCAGGAGCCAGGTACTTCTCCTGGTCTCCCATGGGGTGCAGGGCCCAAGCACCTGGCCCATCCTCCACTGCCCTCCCCGGCCACAGCAGAGAGCTGGCCTGGAAGAGGGGCAACCAGGACAGAATCCGGCACCCCGACCGGGACTAGAACCCGGTGCGCCGGCGCCGCAAGGCGGAGGATTAGCCTAGTGAGCTGCAGCACCCACCATAAATAATTCTTTAAAAAAAAAAAAAAAGACACC